AAATTCTAACGGACACATCGAAATTCGAACTTCTAAATGATGATGCCATCAAAATTACACTGAAACGCGAGAATCAAGTAAAGACGTTGCTGAGAAAACTAAAGGCAGAAAAATGCATAAATGAAAAAACATACAACGAACTTTATCCCACTGGTACACGTATCGGCATACTTTATGGACTCCCTAAAATTCATAAATCCTCCATCCCTCTAAGACCAATCTTATCTAGTATTGACCACTACTCCTACAAGCTAGCCAAATTCTTTATTCCTTTCCTTACATCAATCTCCGCCAACTCCCATGTTATCAAGGACTCTTTCTCTTTTGTCCAAGATCTTTTACAAAGTGACATTAACGCCAATAACGTTGTGATGGCGAGCTTTGATGTTAAATCATTGTTCACCAACATCCCAGTGGATGAAACAATCGCCATAATAACTAATCACATCTTCTCCAATAACACGTCCTTTCAAGGCCTTGACCGTTCACAATTCACTCAACTTCTCTCCCTCTCCGTCAAAAACTGTCATTTCTTCTTTAACGGCCAAGTTTATCAACAGATTGATGGTGTGGCTATGGGCAGCCCCCTAGGCCCATTATTTGCGAACATATTTATGGCCTTCAATGAAAATTCATGGCTTCACAACTGTCCCTCCACCTTCAAACCCCTTCTTTACCAACGTTACGTTGATGATTGCTTTCTACTCTTCCGATCATTGGATCACATACCTCTTTTCCTTACCTATCTCAACCACCAACATCCTAACATCTCCTTTACATCTGAACTGGAAAAGACAACACGCTCCCTTTCTTGACGTAAAAATAACTCGCTCAAACGGCAAGTTTTCCACCTCCGTGTATCGTAAACCCACTTTCACTGGTCTCTTCACCAATTTCCATAGTTTCATTCCCATTCAATACAAACGCTCTTTGATCTCCTCTTTACTTCACAGAATTTTCAACCTCTGCTCCAGCTATGAACACTTTCATACCGAACTAGAAGTCGTTAGAAAATTGTTCACCTTAAACAACTTCCCTTCATACATATTTGACAATCATGTTCACCGCTTCCTCAACAATACATTTGAACCCAAAGATCTTATTCACACTGCCCTAAGAAAATCATGTACTTCTGTCTCCCTTTCACTGGCCTACACTGTCTTCAGATTCGCACTCAAATCACTCGACTCTGCAATGCTGCCTTTCCTCATATCAACGTTCGCTTTGTCTTTCGTTCTTCCAGGCGTCTCTCCTCTTTCTTTCCTTTTAAGGATAGGGTTCCCAAGCTCCTGAGATCTGGTGTTGTATACTCATTCAAGTGTCGATGCTGCTCTGCATCGTATGTGGGTCAAACCACGCGTCATTTACACACCAGAATATCAGAACACTTGGGAATCTCTCCCTTAACAGGGAAGCCTTCCTTATGTCCACCACCATCTGCAGTTCTTTCTCATATAAGAAATACATCTCACCCTGCCGATTTTAATGATTTCTCAATTCTCTCTTCCTCCTCCGACAAATATGACCTTATGATTCATGAAAGCCTTCTTATATCCAAACTTAAACCCTCTCTTAACACCCAAGGCAACTCAATCCCCCTTCACCTTCTTTAATATACCGCCATTCTCACTTAATTCCGTCATCTAAATTTCCTACTCCTCTCACATGTAATTTAACACCCCATATTATATGCTTGTATTTAAAACCTCGTGTATATGTATTAACTCATTAATCTGAAGATGTCTTAAGTTAAAGACGAAACGTAATTAATAAATCCTTCTCTATTTTATTATTGTAATGGCTTTTTTAAAAGTATTTTGTTGGGCTATTATGTTCATATTGAAAATTCGCTTTCCGCCTGGCAAATCTCTGGCCACGATTTTGAATAAACCCTAAATGTTGTAAAATCTGTGTGGGTTCTGTAACAGATTTAACTTTATGGGGTAGAAATCCTAACTTCTGAAACAATTGTAGAAAGTCATGTACGTTTTGCTCGCATTCTGAATAGGAGTAGCCCATTAAGAAAGAGTCATCAATGTAACCGCTAGAAATGTTCCCAAGCTCCCTCAGCTTAGAACATACAAGCTTGAGTATCTTTGTAAATAAACGTGGAGCGGAAGATAATCCTTGAGCAACGCAGGTGAATTGGTTACAGATTACCTTTCCACATAAATTTTAAGTATTTTTCATGCTCTATGTGTATTGGTATTGAGTAATAGGCAATCTCTAAGGTCAACGGATGCCATGTAGCCTTCAAGTCGCAAGGGCTAAGTAAAAGTATGGATAGATTCCATTTTAAAATGGTGATATGTTACAAATGTGTTGAGCTCTTTTAGGTTTAATATCATTATAAAAGATCCATCTTTCTTAGCTCTAAGAAAGATATTGGAGGTAAACTCGCCTTGTTCAAGCATGCTTGTAACAATGATACCTTTCTCTAGAAATTATCTATTTTGACGATCGACATTTTTGAACTTCCAAAGGAGACATTTTTAAAGAGTGTGGTTGTTTTAGCTGGACTGGGTCTGTAAGAAAATCAATCTTGTATTTGCTTACAGCTGGTAAAATAGAAGGCTCCCTTCACTTCCCAATAAATTGTTGTATCCAGCCTGCAACTATACTACAATCATTGTCTCCCCCAGATATGATAGAAGTACTACACCCACGTTTACTAGAACTTACATGGTGGAGAGTAGGAGTCACTGCTTTCTTAGTGTTTTTCCCTTGTCTCGACTTTCCTCTTGGGTTGGTTTTTATAATAGTTGCGTCGTTTGGGTCGGCTTTGCAAATGACCGCCCCGACGTTGGAATAAAAAAGATACATTAGAATTATATGAGCTGGTCAATTGTTGATGGTTGTGTTTCCGTTTTTGGCTTTTCAGTTGCTGTGCAGCCTTTTTGCTTTCTTTTACTGTTTTCGGGCGTTCTTTTAATCATCACCAAACAGTTCTGCAGCAACAGGTTCTTTGTTACTACAGATTGCCTTGTAATTTTCATCAAGGTCAACTTTGAACAAGTCTCTGCGGCACATGTTCAGATCATGATTAGCTGAAGAGAGAAGCACAATATATGTGGACAGCCCATCCCAGATAACCTCTGGTATCCGTGCAGGTGTTGTAAGGTTTGTTCCAAGAGAGGTACTAATCGATCCCGCAATTCGGGAAATCGGAATGAGGCCCTTTATTAAGGCTTCTTGTAATTTTTGTAGACGTACATCCATGCTACGTGTGGATGTCCTAGCAATGTCCCAAATTTCTGGGTTCACCTTTGTAACTCTTAACAGGTGACAGTTTTCGTGGCGTTTTTACCCCTTCCTTCCGTTTTGGTAATGTTTGTTTGTTTAGTCCAGTGGACAAAATTCTGGTCAGAATTTTAGAAATTTTAGTTGGCAATGGTTGGTCTGTCGGTTCATTCTCAGTCACTTTGTGAATCAGCTCATCTACCAAAGCATCGCTATGGTTTGCTAGAGCTGGATCTGTATCTGCAACTACAGCAGCAGTCCCGTTGGTTGAGTGTTCGTCATCAGTTTCATTTTCAGACATAACATCACCATCGTTCCTTTGGCGTGCGGCCTCATAAGCTTGCTTGAGCTCTTTTAAGACAGGAGCAAAAGTATTCATCAAGTCAGTAAATTGATCGAATTTCCTGTTAGGATCGTCCAAAGTAGTTCTCCCGTCATTTCCTTCTTCTAGGAGATTGTTGTTGTTGGCTTTAGCAGGGTGTTTATACCCGGCCCTGCCAGATTTGCCCATTTTCCCTTGTAGACGAGACCGTTTCTGTTCCGGTTCATCGTCTACATTCACGTTTCCTAATAAGCCCGACAGCGTCGGATTAGGATGGTTATGCAAGAGCGTCAGGTCGTCTGCTTGCTCAATTGCTTTGCTGACTTGTGCCATTTGTTGTTGAATAGATTATCTAACCACAGAAAGAGTTTGCCGCGCAAACTCAGTGGTTATGTAGGTGTTTTGTCCTGTATTGTTTTCTGGAACTTTTTTGTCGTTCTACACAGCAGGATGGCAAATTATTTTATGGAATATTCGTCTAAGAACAAACACGCCATCTGTAATAGCGGTGAGCAAGGTTGAGAATAACCAATGTGCACATGCGTAGTATTTCTCGTGGGGTCTCTGCGGTAGATGCTAATAGAATCAATGTTTATTTCCATTCTTAATGAAAATCGTTTGAATGATTCTATAAGTGACTTTTAAAGCTATTATTAATACCATGTATGGAAAGTATGTTTAATTTTTTGCTTCAAATTATCCACTATAAAAATTGCGGCTCTTACACGAAGGAGAAATGGTTTGATAATAAATAATTCTGAGTCAGTGATGCGCTTGACATTCACAGATGCCACGTCATAATGTGACATTTTTTAAAAATAAATTAAACGTAAGTGAACAGCACAATGTACAAATGTTTAAGTAAAGATTATGTTCCATGGGTCAAAATGAACTCATAATAACGTATATATTTCATCATTAATCATTATTTTTTAATATAATTACACTTTAGTAAGCAATACAATGTTTAAATGTAAAGTAAAGATTAGGCTCCAGGGGTCAAAATGAACTCATAATAACGTATATATTTCATCATCATTCATTTTGCACGTAATTTATTTTTAGATGAACTTTAATTTGATGAATTTATTCTTAGATGAACATGTACACTGAGAAACTGAAATCAAGATACTTGTTTTGTTTTCCAACGTGTCTAACTGTTTTAGTTACTTGAATTAAATCGTGTAACAACACAAAGTCGAAAAATTTCACTGACTGTCAGGCCAGGCCCGCAGTGAGGTGATAGGCAAGGGGGCATTTAGCCTTGGGCCAGTAATATAATAGGGGCCGACGTCTCCACATTTGGACACATGAATATTGCAAAATTTAAGTTTATAGAAAAAGTAATGAATGATTTGTGTATTATTTGTACTTTTCTTACGTTATCTCATCATGCAGAAGACATTCATCAATTGCTAAGTTTTATAAATTCTCGTAGCATCTTCAAACGGAATCACGCTTTAAGTGTTATCAATATGAGCAGGTATGTGGTTAGAATGTAAGACTTGGGGGAACAACAACATTTTTTCGGAGGGAGCAGTTGTAGACGTCAAGTTATACTGTATTATAACAATAATATAATTTATCACTAGTTAATTTTTGTGGTTAGCCGCTGTGCATGCGTGGCTAACCACTATAACTTACTGAAAAAGTGTCTGAGTGAGGCAGTGAGGCAGGCAGTGTTTGTTCGTCGTGATATCTTCGGCTGTGTCATCGGTAATAGTCGCATATACGAACGATCACGAATAGAATTGTTTTAAGTAAAGTCAATACTTATGTTGTTCTTTAATTACCTATGCTTTAGAGCGTATAATCTGCACTTTGTTTTAGTGACTACAGATAAAGCCGTGCAGTTGAAAATATCATTCATTTATACGCTTTACTGGTGATTACAGACGTCAATCATAACCTATATGGAACTACTGCAGTTTAGAGGACACCTTGGACGCTGACCCAAACCCTACCCTATAATCACAAGAAAAACGAGCCCGCGGTGACAAGCGTATCCGTTGTCCGCTAAACTGCAGTCTAGCAAAATTTTAAATTGGAACAAAATCATCAGCAATAAAGTCCTATCAAAATGTAAATAAGCAAATATTCATACAACACAGCAAACCAGTTTGATTTATCCTGTTAAAAGAACGACGTATCTCTTCAGCACACGATTGTTAGACAGATAAAATATATTATTTATTAACTAGGAGTTACTATCGTAGGTAGTTGCTGCCTCTCGCGCGAGTTTTCGAAAATATTATTATTTTTCGAAATATTATTTTGTGTTTTCTCATTGTATCAAGTCTACTATTTTAATGCCTTGATGTAAGATCAATTACTGGGTCATGTCACTAGGCAGTGAACACAATTTTTATAGAAAGAAAGAAATGAAGCACACAAGTCTTTATAAATGACTTGTACTACTTTTTTTAATTCATTCTTTTTAACTTTTGTGAACATTTTGTACATTTTAAATTATACCTTTTTTCACAATTTTATTTCTCATTTCTAGAATATAAAATGGCTTCGCCACCTAAAGAATTAAAGATTGAGGAAAATGGATCTCGTTTGAGTAAACTTTTAATCAATAAAGGAACCCAAGCCTTAAAAACAACATTGCAATCTTTATTAAAGCCATCAAGTTTAGCTGGTAAACTTAAAGATCCTGCTACAAAGAAGAAACTATCATCTTTGAAATATAAAGTCATTAAGAATAAGCAATGGGAACTTCTTTATCCTTCAATTGGTGACCTTGACATTGAAAACTTTGACATCACAATATTAACTGTCTTATTGCGTAACATATGTGGTCTAACAGCTCCACATAGTGGATGGAATAATCTTCCTTCCTCTTCAGATACTTCAATCTCAGCAAACATTGCAAGAATAAAGTTTTATCGAAACAAAGTGTACGGTCACATAACTACAACTAGTATAGATGGCAGTGAGTTTGAGAACTTGTGGCAGGAAATTTCAAAAGCATTGGTTGGTCTGGGTATTCAACAAACTGAAATAGATGAATTAAAGAAAGCTCCCCTCACTGCCGATGAAGCAAATTATGTTAAAATGTTAAAAGAATGGTATAAAAAAGAAGAGCAGTTACTCGATGTCACAGAAAAAATCAAAGAAGATTTGAAAGTAATGAATAGAAATGTTGTAGAGATGAAACAAGAGATGGCAACAAAAGCTGATGTAACCAGAATGGAAGAAATGAAACGGGACAAAATATGCTCAGAACTTAAGAAGCTTGGTAAGTGTAAGTTTGATGGTCTAATTTTCCTCAAAAAGAAAATTTTCTCGATAACGAAAACCCTGACACAATAGAGACATGAAAGACAAATTGTTTCTCGCAAATAAAATCATCATATGCTCAATAAAATAATTGAATACTGCAAATAACCATTTCCAATTCGGCAAAATGAAAACAATACTAGCAATCGTTTTAAAGATCGCAAATACCATAGTGAATGGTAAAAGTAATTCACTGTGGTATTTGCGATCTTCAAAACGATTTTCAGATTTGTCACCACAACAAAGTCTCAATTTCAAAACTAATAATGTTGCAGGAGAATGAGAAAAAGCATGAGGTAGACTTTGAGTTTGCAGAAATAAAGATAACGATGTTCACTTTACCAAGATGAGTAAGAGAAACAGTACGTGTCAGTTAATTTAGTGTTAAAGCATAAAATGCCTAAAACGAAAATTTAGCAACCTCTGTGTTATACATTTATTGAACAGACATTTCAATATGACAATGGACTTCCTGTACTAGTTTATGCATATCACTTTTCATTCTCGAGACATTGAAGTTTTTATTATGTCCGATTTATCTGTTGTCACATTGCATAATGAGAACTAGATGTATTAAATAAATTTGCTGATACATTATTTTAACATGACGGAGTTTCCTTCTTTGTGACGTGTTAATGATATAAATTACTGCGTACCATTATCAATCTAAAGTTGTCAGGAAAATTGAGGGTATTTGAAACATTGCAGCGACTCATTTTGCATGCAATATTATGTCACAAGTTAGATAAATTGATAATTGCAAGGACTTCAGTATTTTCAGAATGAAAAAAGTCATGCAGAAAAGGTTTTAGAAAGCACTCTGTCATTTCAAAAGTTCTGGTCAATACAGATATAATTTTACTAGCAAAATTTTCGTTTCATTGGCACTTTTAAGATGTCAAAACAAGGTTTGAGAGTATAATTGTTGAGATCGAACTTCAAATGTTAATGTTTTGCAACAAACATAAGATATTCTATGTAAAAGGCGAGTGTCGAGAATAGAAAGAAAAATTGAATGAAGCTATTTTGTTATCTTTCGGTATAAAAAATTTTTTAGACTCTAAAAAGTATATGTTCTCAAAATTTTAATTTAATATTTTCGAAAAACGCAAGTTGCTCCTTAAGAAAAATTCATGAAATTACTGCAGAGAAAAGTTTTTGTGATTAATTGTTTGGTATAAGCTAACCTCGAATGTTACCAGTTAAAAAATTTATGAAATGTCTAATAATTGTTGATACATTTTTTTAAAGTGTACGGTATCAGTAGCCTTTCCTAATTGGGGAAATTTAAGCTATTTTAATGTATTTATTTTGTTTCTTTAACCCTTGATTATAATCTTTTTATCTAGAAAAGTGGAAATACATCGATGAATCAACGAAACATAGAGAATTGTTTTTAAAATTGATTGAATATGGGCGCAATCGCAGTGTTGAGGTTAAAGTGGTGGGCAATGTACGTGTAATATTCTCAGAAGAATTTTGCATTGGCGAAGGAAGTGATGCAACCCGTGTTTATCTTGGACTGGGTAAGGATGGTTACGGTAAAGCAGTCAAACGAATACATCGAGATAGCTTTATCCAGCTTGCACAGCAAGAAAAGAAAATTTTGAATGAATTCAATGCAAAAAAGTCGAAATATGTTGTGAATTATTTCTACTTAGAAGAAGATAATGGAACGGATTATGTTTATTTGATCTTAGACTTATGTGAAGAATCACTGGTGAAGTTTGTGGAAGATTCTACTTTGCATGATCTTCAAAAAGCTCTTCCTGATATTCTTAGACAAATTTTAAAAGGATTAGCTGATCTTCATAGCGACCCAAATCCTATTCTACATCGGAATTTGAAGCCTTCCAATGTTCTGCGAGACTCAAAAAGTCAATTTCTGATAGCTGACTTTGGCATGAGTCGAATAATGAAGAATGACACGACAACATATAAAAGCAATTTTTCCATGGGAACCCAGCATTGGATAGCTCCTGAATCATATTGCGAAGATGATGATTCAGTAAACAAAGCGCGTTACAAAAGAAGGTCTGATGTATATGTAAGTGTAGGAATGTAAACATTTGTAAGTTGTAATGAAACTCAACGTTGTTAAATTGCATTTTGATGTAACGCTTTTTATTATTTTAGAATGCAGGGATGGTAGCTTATTATGTTGCTACAAAAGGAAAACATCCTTTTGGAATTCAACGGTATAGACTGGAAAACATGTTGAATGGAAACCCTGTTGGTTTGAAAGAAATCAAGGATGAAACATTAAAGGACCTTCTGTCGTGGATATTAAATCTAAAACCTGAAGACAGACCATATTCTAACGAAGCATTAAAACACCCATTTCTCATGTCAGATGATGAGAAGTTTGAAATGTTATGTGAAGTTGGGAATCTTCATCAGATTAAGACAAATGATCTCCAGTCAAGTGTCGTTCAACAATTGAATAGCGAATGCGTACTTTGGAAAAGTCAAATTAATTGGGATGTCTATGATTATTTTCGCACGTACGAGAACAATGGAAAACTTTATAAGGTCCATTATACATCTTCATGGGCAGAATGCTTAAGGCTTATTCGAAATACTCGCCAGCATTGGAACGATCGACCTCTACCACAACCAGAATTATTTTACAAGATTGGTGATTACAGGGCGTATTTTCTCCGAACAATTCCTAATCTCCCTGTTCGGGTACATGCTGCGGTCAGGTCCAATAAAGAATTGAAAAACAAACCAGAACTCAAGAACTTTTCAAGAACACCAACAGTTCCTCCAACAACACCCGCAGATCCTTCAAGAACACCAACAGTTCCTCCAAGAACACAACTGGTTTCTCCAATGCCACCTCAGCGTGAGAATGATAGTAAACTCGAAGAGACATTAAAAGGACTTACTTTAAAGAGAGATCAGTATAAATTGGCTGCTCGCAATTGTAATAGAAGTGGGGACAAAGAAAATGAAAAAAAATATTTGATTGTATCGAAGGTGAGTTACTTTTAAAGGAACGGAAATGAAATTTAAGTGGAAGCATTGTCATGCATTCTCCACAGGTCTTTTTATGGTGTTCTACAAATGCGCGAAATTGATTCCTAATCTTAATCCCTAAGCCTAATCCTTAATCTCATTGTAGTAGGCTATGTCTGTAATGTTGGAGATTGAATTAGAGCTCTATTTGTTGCATAAGAGATTTATTAAAACTTTTGTTTAGGACTTCGATGCTGTCATTCAAGCTGTAAAGGATGAAAAAGATGTTGATCTCACACAATGCCCTCCACCTCCCCCTGGATTTCCAGGTAAAAGAATGATAACCGGGGGTTGATATACAAGTTCTGTCAGCTAAATTTGAGTTGATGTAAAACTTTCAACGCAATTTTTTGCCATACACTTTAAATTTCATTTCATCTACTATGTCGAGTGAAGGACCGATCAGTTATGTAAAATTTATGTGGTCTGCCGGTTACGTCAACAAAACCCAAAGCTCCTTAAGTATATCGTCCCCAGACATCTTCCACAGCTCTTCTAGTATCTGATACCTAGACCTCTTTCCTTAATTATCTTCCCTTATTTAAAAAAGTCGTTACTGGTCAACCATTATTCACCATTTCTTCATAGGATTTAATTTGAAAAGCCAATTTCTTGATGAACATTACAAAATTAAAAGAGACGTTCATGAAAAATTCAAAAGGTATGTTTAGGAAAACAAAATTCTTTGTGTCATCGTCTGTGTTATCTGTAAGATAGGACAAATGGGTATATGAATGGATAATAAAGGTTTATAGATACTTATAGGCACGTTGTGATTAATTTAGATTCTTTATCCTATTTCTCATTTTATTATAAAGCATATTGTGGATATGTGGCAACTATGGAACAGTTAGAAAAAACAAAGTTATACCATATGCTCATATGTATATCACAGTTGATGGTGTTGAAGGAAGGTCCGATGAAGATTTAAAGGAAGAAATTGACAAGATATTTGAATGGGAAGCATCAAAATTCATTGAAATCATACGTAAACCTTACAAAAGACCAAAGATTCGATATTTATCAAATTTCCGCGCTGTTCAAAATAATGATGCACCAAATCCAATGCAAAGACCAAATGGTTTTGTTATGGCAAACCAATAAACTTACTTGAAACCTTGGCATACTGCAGAAATACCCTTAACAGCTGTCATTGAAAAGGCATCGAATCCGAACACGTTTAGACGCACTGTAACCGGAATGATTTAAAAACGTTGACCAATCCTCATTTATCATGCATTATCCTATGTATTAAATTGGTGCTTAAAGTGACTCGTTCTATTTTAAATGCGCTATTTTTGAGCATAGTTATGTTTATGCAATTTACTATTGCCGTCTTATCAAAAGAATTATGGAAATAGAGCGAGCAGTTTTGATACGGCTCCTTTCAATGCCAGAAATGTGCCCTTAAACATTTTCGCTATTTTATATTCTAAAACGACACTTAATGAAAGGTTCACTTTATCATCTGTCCACATAAAAGCTTCATTCTTACCTTTAATGACCATGAAGCAGTAGTTTTTGTCGGATAATTTAACATTTTATAGCCAGCTCATTCTTCGTATAAGCGCATGCTCTGTAAGCAATAGTTAAGTATTTGTATTGTTTTCGCAGGTACGTGTGGATGCGTAAAGTTTTGAATCCAGAACAAAATGTTTACAGCTACGTGTGGACACACAAAAACACATCAAATTCGCATACATGTGGACGCGTAAAGTTTTGAATCCAGAACAAAATGTTTACAGCTACGTGTGGACACACAAAAACACATCAAATTTACATACGTGTGGACGCGTAAAGTTTTGAATCCAGAACAAAATGTTTACAGCTACGTGTGGACACACAAAAACACATCAAATTTGCATACATGTGGACGCGTAAAGTTTTAAATCCAGAACAAAATGTTTACAGCTACGTGTGGACACACAAAAACGCATCAAATTTACATACATGTGGACGCGTAAAGTTTTGAATCCAGAACAAAATGTTTACAGCTACGTGTGGACACACAAAAACACATCAAATTTACATACATGTGGACGCGTAAAGTTTTAAATCCAGAACAAAATGTTTACAGCTACGTGTGGACACACAAAACACATCAAATTTACATACATGTGGACGCGTAAAGTTTTGAATCCAGAACAAAATGTTTACAGCTACGTGTGGACACACAAAAACACATCAAATTTACATACATGTGGACGCGTAAAGTTTTGAATCCAGAACAAAATGTTTACAGCTACGTGTGGACACACAAAAACACATCAAATTTACATACATGTGGACGCGTAAAGTTTTGAATCCAGAACAAAATGTTTACAGATACAAACGAATCCGGATACGTGTAGGCGAGGCCTTAAATTCTCTGCCATAAATAATCACTCATGGCTTTGGTCATGTTCTAAGACGGTTAGAGCTTAATCACTTGCGTCATATGGGATTAGGAGACACTCACATTAGATAAAATTCACTCTATCTAATCCTTAGATAGATAGATAGATGATTTATTTCTTAAAGCTGGCAGCCATATTGCTGAAATACGTTTAAGATTACATATAATACATACATAAATAAATTAACTAAATTACATCTTCAATGAGTTATAAGTTATAAAACTATTTCTAAAACGTTTGGTATTAAAACTAGTATTAAATGAAGATTGCGTTTTCATATTCTTGATGAGGCAGGATTATTTTTAATGCTCGCTTTTGGACTGACTCTAGGTTATCTGACAGTTACAATGTCAGACTATTGTGGAACACTGGGCAATCATACTCCAAGACAGGTCTTATACACGTTTTGTAAAATTGGAGCAACTCCTTCACTTCGATATTTGCTCGTTTTAGTTGAATAAGATAATAGAGGCGTTTACGGCATTTCTTAATTATTTCATTTACGTGGATGTTCCACTTAAGATTGCTGGCTATAACCAATCCCAAAACTTTCGCGTGTTGGACAATATCCAGTGTAATGTTATTGATGGTAATTGGTTGAAGGTCATTGGTATAAGATCCAAAACAAATGGGACTCTTAATCTCATAGAACACACGTGATCATGCTCTAACCCTTACCACAGTATAAGAATATACAGAAGAGTCACTCGTGTCGGAACCTTTGATGATTTTGTCTTCGCGAATGGTGGCCGCCATTATTCCAGCAAGATGATTAGGGTTTTTGACTTTTCCCAACCTTTAAAATGATTCGAAGTCATTTCTTAAGTCAAAATATATTTGAATTCATTATTCAGTAATGACGTCATGTAATTTTATTGGTTGTAAACAAGAGAGAAATCCTAATCATCTGGCTAGAATAATGGCCGACATGAGGAGGCGTTGTACACCTGAGTGACCCTTCTGCATAATCATTACTCTGTGCCCTTACTTAATTTCAGAAGCGTTAAAATATTTAAATTCGTACGTGTTTACGTTAACGTAAGTCAGGTCGCTTTAACTTTATAGAGATGAAATGTAAGTACTGTATATTTACTGGCGAAGTAAGAAATATTTACGGAAGAAATCAGAAGGTTTGGTTATAATCTTTGTAATGTGAAGAATTTTACTTGTTTCTTATTTGCTCGTTTGTGCTAAGTAAGTCTTATGTTTAAGTTCCTGCCAGTTTCCCCGATATAGGAGGCGTGGCAGTCGGAGCAGTTTATTTTGTAAAAATACAATATAAATAATGCACATGTCTAATTATACCGTGACGTAAAGGTCCAGGATTAAAGCAATATTTGGTCACGACTACTCCAAAAACAAGTCATTTACTTCACTAGATTCACTAAATTTTGAAAAAATTAAAGCGATGAGCAACTAGAACAAATTTTCAAAAAAAATAACCAGCACTGTGACGTCACTGCATAGTTAATTTGGTACTAAAAACCAAACAGAGTTTACTACTTTTAAACAATTTAGTAAAAAGTGAATTGTATTAATAATTTTTTGTTCACTCTCTAGATTTTGGATATATTTAAAAACAATCTACCGTGTAGTTTTTTATTTACAGGCCTTTGTCTAGCAATGACTTGAAATTCTGAACGTAATTATAAAAGATCATATTACGCGCATTCGTGTCATCCGACTTTGTCGATGATTTTCTATAACTTATTTTTTTGTGCCACCTCCAGATTTTGGATATATTTTAGACAATATAAAAAAGACAAAAAAACAAATTTGAAAGACAAATTTGTCCGGCTTGACGCTATGAGGCGCGAAACGGGACAATATTCGAACTCGTTTTATTTATATGCTAAACTTGAAAAATATATGACGAACTGTTGTCAGTATGTTGACATGCCCGTGTATCGAAGAGTCGGACAAACTGTTTTCGATGCAGAATTTCTTTCGTTTTTACAATCTGTCAAATCAGTAATTGTGGAAGTTCGTGCTGCTTGTAATACAGCCTCTCAGACTCTAGACCAGTTCGAAGTACTTGAAACTCGTATTGAGGAAATATTTTGGTCTTTTTCATTGCTAGCAGAAGGAAGGGAATATACATGGACAGTGCAAAGTTTATTCAATGAATTTTTAGTTTATGCAAATCAAATCAAAGAAAATACCAAACACAAGTGTGACATTCTAAGAAACAGCACAGAAGCAGTTGGCACAAGTTATACCTGCCCCTTAACACGCACGGGCAGGAGAGGACGTCCGCGTTACACTGTACAAAAAAGCCAAATAGAATTCCTTCGCGAAAAAAGATTTTATTGGGTACGAATTGCAAAATTGCTTAATATTTCAATTCGAACGCTTCAAAGACACAGAGAACAATTGGGCATTACTGATGAACCTTACACTAATGTAAGTGATGGAGACCTTACCCAAGTAATGCAAGAGGTAAGACTCACAACTCCAAATATAGGTCAAACGCGTATGGTTGATGCACTTCGAAGCCGTGGCATGCATGTACAAAGATTTAGAGTTCGTCAAATAATGAGAACAATAGATCCATTGGGAACAGTTCTTCGATGGAACCAAGCTGTCTATCGTCGTAGGTATTCCGTGCCCTATCCAAATGCACTTTGGCACATAGAAGGTAATCATAAATTAATTTCATGGAGAATGGTAATTCATGCATGTATAGATGGCTACAGTCGCTTAATTTTTTATTTGCATTGTTCAAACAACAACTTAGCTGCCACAGTGAAAGAACAATTTCTAGTAGGAGTGCAGAAATGGGGGCTTCCATCTCGGGTGGGGTGTGACCATGGTCTAGAGAATGTGGAGGTTGCACGTTATATGTTGCATAACAAAGGATTGAATAGAGGAAGTATTCTTACTGGGAAATCAGTCCATAATGTTCGTGTGGAGCGATTACATCGTGATGTCTATGAAGGGGTGTTGTCATACTATGTAAAACTCTTCACAGAAATGGAGAATGAAGGAATATTAGATGCTATGAATGATTTGCATTTGTTTTGCCTTCATTGTGTCTACATACCTAGAATTCAAAGAGCACTTGATGAGTTTATTGCCCAGTGGAACTCACATCCTGTGAGCACAGAGTCAAACTTAAGTCCTGACCAACTTTTTGTTCAGGGAACTTTTTAAAGTGGAGCATACATTGCAGGTACCAGCATGGTTGGGAATAATGATGAAAATCTGGGGAGTGGGATTGACATGGATTTAGATGCTCCATTGCAAATTGAGGACAGTGATTATCAGGTAGCTGTTCCAGAAATTTTATTTACTTCTTCAGCTGAAGTTTGGGCTGTGTTAAAACAACATATCAATGAATCAGCAAATGATGAAAGTGATGGAACATTTCTTTATTTGTCATGCATTCAACTTTTTGAGAGTATTTAATCAAAACTTTGTCAAACTGCATTTAAAGGAAAAAAACTATATTTACAAAAGATTAATTGATAGAAGTTGATTATATTTGTAATGAGAACATTTTCCTATTTTTTTTGAATACTTGTTCGTTTTAGAGTTCCATTAGTAAGTGGATGACATACTGATGATTTTTACAAAAAAATATTTTGTTTCCTTCAAAACTATTTTGACTTTGTTGCTGCCAAAAATATTTGTAAAAATGCTCTTTGATGTTCATTTCACGTAACAAAACAGTAACAGTTTAATTTCTTCAAACAAAACTTGAACATAACAGTAAATAAAGTATTACAAAGTATTCAAAAGCACAATATATACATGACAAAGTAGCTATCAAGGAGTTAAACAATATGAAAGGACCACGATTCTTTCTCCTTCATGATATTGGTGAACTCTTCTGAGAGTTCATTGAATGATTGGTAGGTAGATGGTAGTTCCAACATAGGTCCGCATGTTTGAGCAATTGGTACTCGAAGTGCATTATCTGCAGCTGTAAAAGCCACTTCAATTGATGGTACAATTAACATGTTACTTCCTGTTGTGAATTGCAAGAACAATTCTAAAGAACTTTCTGAAAGTGTTGTGATAAACTTCTTTAAATATTGAAATGCTTGGACTTCAGAGTCTGATGATGGGGATGCAATTAGTATTTTTACAACATCTTTAGGAGAGGGTTTTTTCTTATCATACAATTGTTTTACAATGTCAATGTTACTGAACTGACTTATATTTTTCAATGGCTGTAATATGGGAACCAACAATTACAAATGTAATGTGGCTTCTGTATTAACTCCTGATGAGCAAGTGAAACAGGGAAATACTTAATGGTATAATAACCAAATACCATAAATCCACCCACTGCTTCCCATTCTTGACGTTGGTAATCATGCCTGATTGACGGAATTTTTTCCGTTGCACCCATTGTTAATGCAGGGAAAAACTGTTGCCAAAACAGGCTAACAACCTCACGTGTAACCCCAGAACCTCTACCATCTTCAATATTACCCCTTTCATCTACAATGGCAATACTTAATATGCAGCCAACAAAAGCAGGATCCTTGAATTCATCTATGATATCCTTAAGAACATGGCTTCTGTGAATTAGAACTTCTCTGACTGGTAATTTACTTGGTAGGTCTACCAAAATACACAATACCCTAAGTCTAAACATAAAAAATATAAGGAAAATGTTGACTTAAAAACATTGCAATTTACCTTGAATTTCTAAAGGTCCCTGAATATCAGAATATTCAACATTCTGGAATGGTTGTCGATCTAAAAAATAGAATGCTTATGTTCAATTTTAAAAAAAAAATAAAAGTATGCATATTGAATTTAATTTCAATATTTCCTGACCTTGTGTTTCAAGAGGTAAGGAATCGTTGCCATGCTCAGGATTTACAATGGCATCCATTTCATCAGAGATGGTAATGTTATAAGCAACATCAACAAATAAATTGGTTGACAGATTTGACTGACCGCCAACCTCAGAAATCTGCTGGTGAGCATCAAACCTCAACTATGACTGCTTGTTTCTCAACGATGTCTAAAGTCTCACCATGAGTAGGACTAGATTTATCAGTCTTCTGTGAATCTACCAGAGCACTCTCATAATCACTATCTTCATCCAGACACTCATAGGAACGAATGTAGACTGATCCTTGACCAGAAAGTTTAAGCAAAAGGTTACCAGTCATTTCCACTCCTGGTGCAAGGTTTGGTTTGATGAGTTTGCCATAAGATGCCTAATGTAAATTTACATTACTGTCAGTAAACATTCATTCAAACAAATGGAGAAGTTCATGATCCATTCCGAATTTGCTTTCACACAAATGCTACTCAACTGAAATGTCCGTAGAGATATTGAACCAAAAATTTTTTTAGTTCTATAGTTATAAGTAAAAGAAACAGGCATTTTTCTGATAATTTGATGTACAGATAACCATTTCATTGCAGTCATATGGTAGATTCAAAGCATTTTCAACTTACTTTCATGTACTCAAAGCATAACAGCAAATACTTTGGAAATGCCTCCGCAAATCTACGTGTTAGTATTTGTGTATCCCACTCACGTTGGAAAGGAAAGCTGCGCACTACAAAGCCTTTACTATCCAACATAACTCTTGTGGAGTGCGTGGGCACAGTTTCTTCTTCTGGATTGGGGATAAGAACCAAGTCTCTCAGTACAGGCTTTAAATATTTATTGTTTCTACGAGCAAAAAGGCCTGATAAAAATGCTGTTCTCTTCGTCCTGTGCGGGACACTGATGATTCAGGGGATGCTTGAGGCCTACGTAGGCTTGGAAACCGTCGATAAATTTCCTCTGGGACGCTCGTACTTTAGCCGTTGAACTACTATTTGTTGACAATGCAACGCTTTCCCTTCCAAATTGAGATATACTAGGAGTCCTAGCTATCCTTTCTAGGTCAGAAATTCTTTGTAACGCCTTATTTAACACATCTTCCATGACTTTCTCCACACAGCAAACCTGAAAACAACACAGATATCAGTATCAAGTTATCAACTACATCGCGTAAATCATCATGCATAAATTTGCATTAATTAGAATCAATTTTTAAAGTTTAGCATATATTTCTTAAGTTTAGCATATATTTTTTAAGTTTAGCATATATTTTTTATGTTTAGCATATATTTTTCAAGTTTAGCATATATTTTTTAAGTTTAGCATATATTTTTTAAGTTTAGCATATATTTTTTATGTTTAGCATATATTTTTCAAGTTTAGCATATATTTTTCAAGTTTAGCATATATTTTTTAAGTTTAGCATATATTTTTTATGTTTAGCATATATTTTTTATGTTTAGCATATATTTTCAAGTTTAGCATATATTTTCAAGTTTAGCATATATTTTTCAAGTTTAGTATATATTTTTAAGTTTAGCATATTTTTATGTTTAGCATATATTTTCAAGTTTAGCATATTTTTCAAGTTTAGCATATATTTTTCAAGTTTAGCATATATTTTTCAAGTTTAGCATATATTTTTTAAGTTTAGCATATATTTTTTAAGTTTAGCATATATTTTTCAAGTTTAGCATATTTTTTAATTTTGTTTATATATTTTTCAAGTTTCATATATTTTTCAAGTTTTATATTTTCAAGTTTAGCATATATTTTAAGTTTAGCATTTTTAAGTTTAGCATATATTTATGTTTAGCATATTTTTCAAGTTTAGCATATATTTTTCAAGTTTAGCATATATTTTTTAAGTTATATTTTATGTTTAGCATATATTTTTATGTTTAGTATATTTTTAAGTTTATATATTTTTCAAGTTTAGCATATATTTTTCAAGTTTAGCATATATTTTTCAAGTTTAGCATATATTTTTCAAGTTTAGCATATATTTTTTAAGTTTAGCATATATTTTTTATGTTTAGCATATATTTTAAAGTTTAGCATATATTTTTAAGTTTAGCATATATTTTTAAGTTTAGCATATATTTTTATGTTTAGCATATATTTTCAAGTTTAGCATATATTTTCAAGTTTATATATTTTTAAGTTTAGCATATATTTTTATGTTTAGCATATATTTTTATGTTTATATATTTTCAAGTTTAGCATATATTTTTCAAGTTTAGCATATATTTTTTAAGTTTAGCATATATTTTTTATGTTTAGCATATATTTTTTATGTTTAGCATATATTTATGGGGCGCCAAGCCGGACAAATTTGTCTTTCAGAAAATATATGTGCTGAACTTCAAATTTGCATTGTCTGAATCGAATAAATCGGTTCTCAACTCAAAATATATCTGGTAAACTTAAAAAATATATGCTAAACTTAAAAAATATTTGCTAAACTTAAAAAATATATGCTAAACTTAAAAAATATATGCTAAACTTAAAAAATATATGCTAAACTTAAAAAATATGTTCTAATTATGATGCTTTGCGGCCTTGTTTTTAACACGTTTCCGGTAAGCGTGCGTGGCCGCCATTTGCAAATTGCAATAGATTCTCGAATCTCGATTGTCGAAGATGCTAAATCAAAATGAACTTCAGTTTCACTTGAATAACGCGTTACAAAGAGTTAGCCAGTTGGAAAGTTCAAATATTACTCCTAACAATCCGCTTGGTTCGACGAACAACTCCAGGAGAAACAGCGGCTCGACCGGCTCGACCGGCTCGACTTTAACGGAAGAACTGCAAAGGAGTTTTCTAAGCTTAGCAATCACGCAGCAATAAGTTCAACATCAACCCAAATGCCATTGAGTCGGGCTTCAACGTCGCATCTTTCTGGCAACAAGAAAAAACGAAAGCGCAAATCGACGACCTCTAAATCAACCTTGAAACCCAAAGCAGTGCACAAAGACCTGGTGTTGGTTCCGGAACCGACTCAAACTTCAGTTCCTACTCATTCTTCTCGTGTTTCGTTGGAAAGTGACGGTTTCGTTATTCACAGCTTTCCTTTTGTAAGAGAATGGGATGATATTAATTTAAAAGAAGAAATAGAAAACGTTTTTCCGCAGATCCAAAATTGTGGTTATGAATATGTGAAGGTAACATAAACCATATATGCTAATATACGTACTAGCATAAGCTTAAACGTCTTGTCCAGGGTGTATTGGTGGGTGTGCAGTGAGGGGAGTTAAAAAACAGCATACAAATGAATTAGTATTATAAGCCATTTGCTCCTACTTTTCTGGAAATTCCTTTTGCCTTATAATTTCTCTATGAATATTATAATATCTGGATTTAAGACACCGTTTATTTAATCAGTGATAAATGTTTTGTTTATAAATATGTAATTCGTTAATGTATTTATACATTATTTCCTCATCTTTTTTACTATAGGCCTCATATGGAAAACTTGTTTTACCAAATTTAGCCCCTGGGGTGACTATGAACTGCAACATGCTCTTGAAGTTGTCAGGCCAAGGTGCTGTTTACATACGCTCCAATGAAAAACTTAGTGCTTTTAGTGAAAGTGACAATTCTGCTGATGAAGAATTGCTGAAACCAGCATTAATTAAGCAAGAACCAGAAGTCCTGGAAATTCAGTCTGAGTCAGATATTGAAGGAACAGGTAACTGGAGTTCAGGCATAAATTAACAATTTTGTAACAGATATAAAATGAGGTTGTGCTTAACATGCAGCCTTTTTGTATATGCATATAGGGATAAGGTTTTGTGAATTTTTGTCTGAGTCAGTGTGTCTATATGTAAATATCATACATAAATCACCATACCAAAACAGGAAAGTACTTCCATTCAATATCAATAAAGACTGTGGAAAATATGAATGTATTAATATCATATTGCCAAATGTATGACTTAAGAAAATAACTAAATCCTGTAAGCCATAAAAGTAGAGCTAGCTAAATTAAATCATTTTTTCATTTGTACCAACTCCTGTTGGTGTAGCCAAAACAGTTAATAAATGTGCTTATAGTATGAGAATCAGATGTTTAAATAAATACTTAAGTTAATAGAATGTGAGTGACTCTAATTATTTACCAATCTTAATACCAAACTCTTAATAATATCAACCTATTTGTGATTCCAATTTTGAATTAGCGTTGTTTTTTCTGCAGAATATATAGTTTAATAACGAAAATGTTATGTTAATGAACGTGATTTTTATATTGAAAAAAAATTACGAGAACTGTACATTCTATTGATTGATTGTTGTTTCGCTCATCAATTGTAAACACTCTCTAAACACATTTACACCATGATTTCCATCATCATTTAGGGGATCAATAGTTTCGTGTGCCAAGATTGTTTGCTCTTCATTGACATTTACTTGTGGCACAGAAACATTATAGTCGTCATCACTGATTAAGAGAGTTTCACTTTCGTCTAAATCCATGCTGGCACCAAGTTCGTCTTGGTCACTCTCTTCTACCAGTATATTTTCATTGCAATTGGACATAGCTCCACTGATAAATAGTTGTTCAGGACTCAGATTCTCAGCAGTACTAATGGGGTGGCTATTCCATTGCCACTTAAATTCGTTAAGAGATCTTTGAATTCTTGGGATGTAAACGTAATGTAGTGCGAATAGGTGATGTTCATTAAGACAATCAAGCAAACCATCTTCTTCCATGTTAGTAAATAGCCAGACATAATGAGAAAGTATGCCACAATATACGTCTCTATGGAGACGTTCAACTCTAATGTTATGCACCGATTTACCCGTTATAATACTTCCCCTTCCACAACCCCTGTTGGTTAGCATAAAGCGTGCAACGCCTACATTTTCTAAGCCATGGTCTGATCTGACTCTAGATGGCAAACCAAACTCTTTGACTCCCTGTGTAAAAAACTCTAGCACAGATGATGCGCGATTATTATTGGCACATTGCAGGTATATAATAAGTCGGCTGTAACCATCAATACATGCGTGAATAACTATCCGCCATCGTATTAGCTTGTGGTTGCCATCAATGTGCCATAGAGCATTAGGATGCGGAACATAATACTTACGTCGGTAGACTGCTGAGTTCCATCTAAGTGCTGTTCCAACTGGATCAATTTTTCTTAAACACTCTCTCACCCTTTGCCTCTGAACATGAATCCCTCTAGCCCTTAGCGCACCTACCATCCTACTCTGACCAATATTTGGGGTAACTTTCCTTATGTCTTCCATAGCTTGGGTAAGCTCATCCTCCGAGATATTAGAAAACTCGTCATTGATGTCTAATTCGTTTTTTCTCCTCCGTAATGTTCGCGTAGACACATGAAGTAACTTGGCAATGTTAACCCACGAAAAGTGCTTGCTTCGCAAAAATTCCAGTTTATTTTTTGTAATATGGTATTTTGGTCGACCCGGCCCGTGTGTTGGATTAATTGGACACCTGTAACAATTTTCATCATTGATTGATTGGAGCCTTTCTACTTCAAGACAAAGAGCTCTTTGAATTGACAATAGACTGTTTAAGACGTTTGCAAGCAAACCGAATGTTTCTTGATCAGTGTTTGCGTTGTTTAGTAGAGTTATGAAAAAAGAACACGTACAATCCATTCGATTATTTAAGATTTCCAGGTTATCTAGTCTATCTAAGGGGACCTGGACAATGCTATCGGTCAAAAAAGACACTATACCGGTTATAACTGATTTCGCAGACTGTAAAGATGACGCCCAATCAACGTCGATGATGCCCCACCTTGTCTACGATAAAGAGGCATACTTAATGTTTAATTTTCCCTATAAAATAGTCAATTTGTCAGTTGAATAGATTACTAACGTTGAGCTCAACCCAGTTCCTAGCCTCTCTACTTCGACTGTGCGTCGAGCCGCTGTTTCTGCTGGAGTTGTTCGTCGAACCAAGCGGACTATTAGAAGTAATATTTGAACTTTCCAACTGGCTAATTCTTTGTAACGCGTTATTCAAGTGAAACTGAAGTTCATTTTGATTTAGCATCTTCGACAATCGAGATTCGAGAATCTATTGCAATTTGCAAATGGCGGCCACGCACGCTTACCGGAAACGTGTTAAAAACAAGGCCGCAAAGCATCATAATTAGAACATATTTTTTAAGTTTAGCATATATTTTTTAAGTTTAGCATATATTTTTTAAGTTTAGCAAATATTTTTTAAGTTTACCAGATATATTTTGAGTTGAGAACCGATTTATTCGATTCAGACAATGCAAATTTGAAGTTCAGCACCTATATTTTATGAAAGACAAATTTGTCCGGCTTGGCGCCCCATATATATTTTTCAAGTTTAGCATATATTTTTCAAGTTTAGCGTATATTTTTCAAGTTTAGCATATATTTTTTATGTTTAGCATATATTTTTTAAGTTTAGCATATATTTTTTAAGTTTAGCATATATTTTTTAAGTTTAGCATTTATTTTTTATGTTTAGCATATATTTTTCAAGTTTAGCATATATTTTTTATGTTTAGCATATATTTTTTAAGTTTAGCATATATTTTTTATGTTTAGCATATATTTTTTATGTTTAGCATATATTTTTCAAGTTTAGCATATATTTTTCAAGTTTAGCATATATTTTTCAAGTTTAGCATATATTTTTCAAGTTTAGCATATATTTTTATGTTTAGCATATATTTTAAGTTTAGCATATATTTTTTTTTTTTTTTTATTTTTTATGCATATATTTTCAAGTTTAGCATATATTTTCAAGTTTAGCATATATTTTTTTTATATATTTTTATGTTTAGCATATATTTTTATGTTTATATATTTTTTCAAGTTTAGCATATATTTTCCAAATTTAATATATATTTTCAAGTTTAGCATATATTTTTTAAGCATATATTTTTATGTTTATATATTTTTCAAGTATATATTTTTCAAGTTTAGCATATATTTTCAAGTTTAGCATATATTTTTAAGTTTAGCATATATTTTTAAGTTTAGCATATATTTTTGTTTAGCATATTTTTCAAGTTTAGCATTTATAAGTTTAGTTTATATTTTTAAGTTTAGCATATATTTTCAAGTTTAGCATATATTTTTCAAGTTTAGCATATATTTTTTAAGTTTAGCATATATTTTTTAAGTTTAGCATATATTTTTTATGTTTAGCATATATTTTTCAAGTTTAGCATATATTTTTCAAGTTTAACATATATTTTTCAAGTTTAGCATATATTTTTCAAGTTTAGCATATATTTTTCAAGTTTAGCATATATTTTTCAGGTTTAGCATATATTTTTTAAGTTTACCAGATATATTTTGAGTTGAGAACTGATTTATTCGATTCAGACAATGCAAATTTGAAGTTCAGCACATATATTTTCTGAAAGACAAATTTGTCCGGCTTGGCGCCCCATAAAAACGAGCTCGAATATTGTCCCGTTTCGCGCCTCATATGGCGCCTCATAGAGAACCTTATATGGACAAAATAAAACAAATTCCGAAGAGGGACATCTCGTTTTCTTGATATTTAAGATATTACAAGAGTTAGAAACAAAATAATGCGTAATATTTCGTCTTTATTCCAAAGACATCAACAGACTTATGGTTTACAATGCAGGCTGCGAAACGTTTATATATAAGTATATTGTTTAGTCTTATAGTTCTAATTACATAACTTTGGAATAAAGACGAAATATTACACATTATTTTGTTTCAAACTCTTGTAATATCTTAAATATCAAGAAAACGAGATGTCCCTCTTCGGAATTTGTTTTATTTTGTATTATTTGAAATTGTCTGCTTGTCATGGTTATATGGAGTTTATGGACAATGAACATGATTGTTTTCATAAGCTGTAACTGGATATGCTGTATCCAGTTACAAGGAAGTGAATCAGAAAGATCTCGTGATGAGCCCATCCTTTACATTTCAATGATGTGTACATTGCAATACGAAGAAAGACAAAATTGAAGAAATATTTCAATATAAAACTGTGACTCTACGTTGTGGAACGAAATAATAAGTGTGGGAAAGAAGAAATAGTCGCTTTGGTCATATTTGGTGAGTAAAATTGTGTAAAACATTGATTTTAAAGCCGTAATGTTTAGCTACTCGTATTGTATCAAAGGTTTGACTAAATGGCAGAATACTTGTTCACTTGGATTCATTGACTGTTCATCAACATTTTCAGTAGATACACAAATACACATGTAAGGTTTGACTTAAATGGCAGACTACTCGTTCACTTGGATTCATTGACTGTGTATCCACATTTTCAGTAGATACACAGATACACATGTAAGGTTTGACTTAAATGACAGAATACTCGTTCACTTGGATTCATTGACTGTTCATCCACATTTTCAGTAGATACACAAATACACATGTAAGGTTTGACTTAAATGGCAGACTACTCGTTCACTTGGATTCATTGACTGTGTATCCACATTTTCAGTAGATACACAGATACACATGTAAGGTTTTACTAAATGGCAAAAAACTCGTCCACTTGGATTCATTGACTGTTCATCCACATTTTCAGTAGATACACAGATACACATATAAGGTTTGACTAAATGGCAGAATACTCGTTCACTTGGATTCATTGACTGTGTATCCGCATTTTCAGTAGATACACAGATACACATGTAAGGTTTGACTAAATGGCAGAATACTTGTTCACTTGGATTCATTGACTGTGCATCCACATTTTCAGTAGATACACAGATACACATGTAAGGTTTGACTAAATGGCAGAATACTCGTCCACTTGGATTCATTGACAGTTCATCCACATTTTCAGTAGATACACAGATACACATGTAAGGTTTGACTAAATGGCAGAATACACATCCACTTGGATTCATTGACTGTTCATCCACATTTTCAGTAGATACACAGATACACATGTAAGGTTTGACTAAATGGCAGAATACTCGTCCACTTGGATTCATTGACTGTTCATCCACGTTTTCAGTAGATACACAGATACACATGTAAGGTTTGACTAAATGTCAGAATACTCGTCCACTTGGATTCATTGACTGTTCATCCACATTTTCAGTAGATACACAGATACACATGTAAGGTTTGACTAAATGGCAGAATACTCGTCCACTTGGATTCATTTACTGTTCATCCACATTTTCAGTAGATACACAGATACACATGTAAAGTTTGACTAAATGGCAAAATACTCGTCCACTTGGATTCATTGACTGTGTATCCACATTTTCAGTAGATACATAGATACAAATGTAAGGTTTGACTAAATGGCAGAATACTCGTCCACTTGGATTCATTGACTGTTCATCCACATTTTTAGCAACTACCTAGTGTGTTTCAGTCTTAAGCTAAATGGCGCTATGTTTTATTGAATAATACGATAATATATATTTATGCCTGGTTTAGTAAATTGCGTCTCATCTTGTTAACACAAATGATCTGTTTACCTATCAAAACGACTATATGATAATATTTATATCAACTGCGAACGATTTGCATGAATTATACACTACCACAGTAATAAGTAAATATAGATTTAAAATGCAATCGCACACGCAGTACTCTCATGATAATGCACAATTAAATTTATTTAAATTGATAAAAAATTTTAAGCCAGGTCTCGTTGTCACAAAAAAGTGTACGTTTTCCTTTTCTTTTGCTGTTTTGCATTTTTTGATGATCCTTTTATTCGTTTAAAAATGCCTGACATGGAAGTCGACTAATTCACTGATTTCAAAAATCACAGGATTTTATCATCAATGAGGAATCAAGTTAGAAAGAAAAACGCTTGGATTTCTTACACATAAGATATTTATTTGTTTTGTAGCAAATTTCTCCTTTGCACGTTAGCACAAAGCAGTTATGCGTCCGCCGGTTCTCTATGGGACTGTATACTATCTAAAGCTAGCGCGTCAAACACAATTCTCAAATGTCATCAATTTAATTTTTTTGTCAAAGTTATACATCAATTCCAATTCATGCTCCTTACTTGTTCACAGGCATCAACAAAAGACAATGCCGTCTTAGTTTGACCCTTCAAAAATACTCAATAATCATAAGTTCTTTTTTCGCTTTAACGATAAGTTCCTAGTCTCAAATAACAATCATAATTTATTTACACAGTTTCCGACATGTTTTGAATAAAAGTGCGGTTTTTATCTTTGGACAGCAACTTGTGTCAATCGCTTCGTTTGATGTCATTTGATAAATTTTTAAACATCTGCTGCATGAAATTAGAAAATCAGTTCGATTTAGACGAACAGCTTATTTTGCTCACATTGTCACATTCAACATATGAACATTATTGATGTTACAATAAGGTTTGAACTATGATCACCATTTTTAAACTGATATGTATGTGGTCGCGTTCTTTATACTAAATCTCTCATTTTTTGTAAGTTATGTGACATGTATAGAACTAAAGCTAGCATAATTTGATCGACGAGGTTGTCATATATGAAGTCTTACTTGTAAAACAAAGGTAATTTTACAAAAGTAAAGCGAGATTTTATATCTACATTACCGACCTAACAATTTGCTAAAGAAACATCTCGATGAAGTATGAATAAACATGCATGAGAAATCATATCGAAGATTATTTTTCAACTTTTTAACTATTGACCATAAGCTGCATGGTTAATGACAGTAAAACCTGTTCAAAATTATAGAGGAAGGCAAAATAACAAGAGAACATTTTCTACATGTGGGATGCTGAATTTTTCTTTATAAACTGTAACTAACACTAGTGCCAGTCCCAAAGATTCGAAACAATATTGTTGTTAATGTAAACTTACGAACGCGTAAAGTATTAGTACTTCTAACTCTTTATGGAAAATATACGAATCATTGCGATCTGGATATAAATGAGAACAAATCTTACACACAAATAAGCAAATGTTACACACAGGAAGAATGTATTTACACAGAGGAACAACGCGACCGAATCTATTATTTCTAAAACGAAGTTAATTTGCCAAAAGTAAAACGAGATTCTGAAACTATATTACTAACTTTACATAAAAGATTTGCTACTGAAGCATCTCGATAATGTATGACTAAACATTCAAGAGAAATCATATTTAAGTTGATATACCAACTTTCTAACTGTTGACAATAAGCTGCATTGTAAAGGACAGTAAAATCTGTTCTAAAGTATGGGGGAGGCAGAATAACATGAGAACATTTTCTACATGTAGGATGCTGAATTTTTCTTTAGAAACTATACTTGTCTATGGAAAAAGGGGGATCTGTAAAAATTTGAAAAATAAGCAAAAGTTAAACACAAGAAGAATGTATTTACACTGAGAGGAAGAACGCGACCGAATCTATTTTTTGTGAAATGTTGATTCATGCAACACAGTGAGCTTTCAAAATCATACTTTTGATCATATGTTAGTTTGACAGTGTTAAAACAATTCTAGTCGTGATCGTTCACATATGCGACTATCACCGATGACACAGCCGTAGATATCACGACGAACAAACACTGCCTGCCTCACGCCTCACTCAGACACTTTTTAAGTATTGCATAGTGGTTAGCCCGCGCATGCACAGCGGCTACCCACGAAAACTAACTAGTGATAAATTATATAATTGTTATAATATAGTATAACTCGACGCCTACGACTGCTCCCCCCCCCCCTCAAAAAAAAATGTTGTTGCTCCCCCAAATTTTACATCTTAGCGACATGCCTGCTCATATTAATAACACTTAAAGCGTGATTCTGTTTGAAGATGCTACGAGAATTTCTAAAACTTAACAATTGATGAATATCTTCTGCATGATGAGATAACGTAAGAAAAGTATAAATAATACACACATCATTCACTACTTTTCCTATAAACTTCAATTTTGCAATTTTCATGTGTTCAAATGGGGAGGCGCCAGCTCCTATTATATAACTGTCCCAAGGCAAAATGCCCCCTTGCCTATCACCTCACGGCAGGCCTGGCCTGACAGTCAGTGAAATTTCTCGACTTTGTGTTGTTACACGATTTAATTCAAGTAACTAAAACAGTTAGACACGTTGGAATACAAAACAAGTATCTTGATTTCAGTTTCTTAGTGCACATCATGTCATGCTAAATCAAAGATCATCTAAAAATAAATTACGTACAAAATGAATGATGCTGAAGTATGTACGTTATCTGACGTTCATTTTGATCACTTAAACATAATCTTTACTTTACATTTATACATTGTATTGTTTACTAAAGTGTAATTATTTTAAAAAATAATGATTGATGATGAAATATATACGTTATCATGAGTTCATTTTGACCCCTGGAACCTAATCTTTACTTTACATTTGTACATTGTACTGTTTACTTAAGTTTAATTTATTTAAAAAGAACTGTCACATTATGACGTGGCATTTGTGAATGTCAAGCGCATCACTGACTCAGAATTATTTATTATCAAACCTTTTCTTCGTGTAAGAGCCGCAATTTTTATAGTGGATAATTTGAAAAAAAAAATGAAACCTACTTTCCAGTCGTGGTATTAAATATAGCTTTAAAAGTCACTTATAGAATCATTCAAACGATTTTCATTTGGAATGGAAATAAACATTGATTTGTTTATAGTCATACTTCATACTACGCAATGCTTCGGTATCAAATTTGCTAAGTTAGAAATGTAAATACAAATCTCGGTTAACTTACGTAAAATTACCTTTCTTTTAGAAATAAGACTTCATATACGACGATCGTGTGGACAAAATTATGCTTGCTTTAGTTCTTTACATGTTACGTACCTAACAAAAGATGAGAAATTTAATATAAAAACGCGACTACATACATATCAGTAAAAAATGGTGATTATAATTCATACATTATTGAAACATTAACTTTTTATCCATATGAGTTTTGTTACATAAACACATTTAAATAACGAACGAAGATGAAAAGTGAGTCAGGATCTCCTTCAACAAATAATATTATTCAATAACTAAGTATACATCACTGACTAAAAACAATTGTTATAGAAATAAAAATACATAAATAAGAAACTCATGCAGAGTACATAATAGCATTGAGATTGGTCAAATTCCAAAGGACTACTGTTAAATAGTATAAAGTTTAACAAATTTCAACTCAAGAATAAAGGGATCACCTTTCTAAAATAGGATTTGAATGTGAATGATTAAGACACAATTTTTGAAACTTAAAATGGATTTTTTCACTTCGTTAATCAAAAATTCCATACATGTATATTCTTGCATAAGTCAGTTCTTATTATAAAAAACCTTTGTTATTGAATAAACTATTGTAAATTATGAATACGTGACAAACATCAACTGCACGCAACTATAAATACTTATGATCAATAAAGACACTGTAGATACAACAGTAAAGGTTGCAATGAAAATAAACCTTAAGTAAAGTCAATACTTATGTTGTTCTTCAATTACCTATGCTTTAGAGCGTATAATCTGCACTTTGTTTTAGTGACTATAGTCAAAACCTTGCCGCTGAAAATATCATTCATTTATACGCCTTACTGGTTTTTTTTCAGACGTCAAATATATCTCGTTTGGGCAAAAAATACAAGGAACTTGATACTCTGTGCAGTCCGTACTTGTATTTTGTTTGGTATTTTATTCATATGTCACGTTGTTTATCTCTCACTCTGTGTTCTGTGTTTTGGTGAGGAAAATGTAAAGCAGATAGGAGATAGTTTTCTTTATTTTCATTTCAATTAGTAATGATGACGATTTGGATTTAACAGATTGTCAAAAATGACGAAGAATTTAAATATATGATTAAAGTGAAGCTATGGTCCTATGGGGGAGTACTGCAGTTTAGCGGACACCTTGGACGCTGACCCAAACCCTAGCCTATACTCACAAGCAAATACGAGCCCGTGGTCAGAAACGCTTCGGGTGTCCGCTAAACTGCAGTCTAGCAAAAATTTGAATTGGAACAGAATCATCAGCGATATAGTCCTATCAAAATGTTAATAAGCAATTATTCATACAACACAGCAAACCAGTTTGATATGACATGCATATATTATGACATGCTTACCATTAAGTTTGAATTACCATTAGGTATGGTTTTTCCACTTTTAACGTTTTGTACTAAACTTTATAGTTTTACTGTATGTGTTTACTGAGTATACTGTAAAGTAGTATATTCACTGCACCATATCGACGTGATATTTTTTATTCAGGTGGTTCTAAGCCAGCAGCACCAACACAATCCAGTGTATCTAAAACTCCCCCCATCGTCACTCCTTCTCAATAGACATCCTCCAGAGTCTCTAGTGAACGTACTAACAATGACCCTAAACAACCACCCGCTGTACCATTTATACCAGTATGTACTCCAAATACACCTTTAGATCCTCCAAAAACACCACCAGCTTGTACAAAAACACCCCTAGTTCCTCCAAGAACACCCGCAGATCCTTTAAGAACACCAACAGTTCCTCCAAGAACACAACTGGTTTCTCCAATGCCACCTCAGCGTGAGAATGATAGTAAACTTGAAGAGACATTAAAAGGTCTTACTTTAAAGAGAGATCAGTATAAATTGGCTGCTCGCAATTGTAATAGAAGTGGGGACAAAGAAAATGAAAAAAAATATTTGATTATATCGAAGGTGAGTTACCTTTAAAGGAACGGAAATGAAATTTAAGTGGAAGCATTGTCATGCATTCTCCACAGGTCTTTTTATAGTGTTCTACAAATGCGCGAAATTGATTCCTAATCTTAATCCTTAAGCCTAATCCTTAATCTCATTGTAGTAGGCTATGTCTGTAATGTTGGAGATTGAATTAGAGCTCTATTTGTTTCATAAGAGATTTATTAAAACTTTTGTTTAGGACTTCGATGCTGTCATTCAAGCTGTAAAGGATGGAAAAGATGTTGATCTCACACAATGCCCTCCACCTCCCCCCGGATTTCAAGGTAAAAGAATGATAACCGGAGGGTTGATATACAAGCTCAAAGTTCTGTTAGCTGAATATGGGTTGATGTAAAACTTTCAACGCAATTTTTTATCATAAACTTTAAATTTCAATTCATCTACTATGTCGAGTGAAGGACCGATCAATTACGTAAAATTTAGTGGTCAGCCGGTTACGTCAACAAAACCCAAAGCTCCTTAAGTATATCGTCCCCAGACCTTTTCCACATCTCTTCAAGTATCTGATGCCTAGATCTCTTTTTTTAATTGTCTTTCCTTTTTTAAAAAAATCGTTATTGGTCAACCATTATTCACCATTTCTTCATAGGATTTAATTTGAAAAGCCAATTTCTTGATAAACATTACAAAATTAAAAAGGACGTTCATGAAAAATTCAAAAGGTATGTTTAGGAAAACAAAACTCTTTGTGCCATCGTCTGTGTTAGCTGTAAGATAGGACAAATGGGTATATGAATGGATAATAAAGGTTTATAGATACTTATAGGCACATTTTTTTTAATTTAGATTCTTTATCCTATTTTTCATTTTATTATAAAGCATATCGTGGATATGTGGCAACTATGGAACAGTTAGAAAAAACAAAGTTATACCATATGCTCATATGTATATCACAGTTGATGATGTTGAAGAAAGGTCCGATGAAGATTTAAAGAACGAAATTGACAAGATATTTGAATGGGAAGCATCAAAATTCATTGAAATCAGGCGTAAACCTTACAAAAGACCAAAGATTCGATATTTATCAAACTTTCGCGCTGTTCAAAATAATGATACCCCAAATCCAATGCGAACACCGAATGATGTTGTTATGGAAAACCAATCAGCCGATGGCTCTCGTGGTACAATGACAATGTTCTGTGGCAAAAACAATAAGTATTACGCCTTGACATGCGCACATGTTGCTTGTGGCGCAAGTGACATGGTGGACAGTGCATTGGCTTTCAATCAGAAAAATGACTTTTTGGCAATTCGCGATGCCGTCAAACACCTTAATGAAGGTACAGCTTATTTTTACAAACTACCAAACAGTGATAATGAATTTCTACTTCCCTCTAAAGGCGTGATTGGTCATTTTGACAAAGAAGTTGATATTGTGAGAATTTTCATCGGTGATAAACGTTGTTTTCAGAAGCTTGGAGGAGATGACATGGAACGTTTTGCCTTGAATTTAGATCTAGCATATGAAGAACTTTACGAAAGATTGGAAAATGAGGATGAATCTGTGAGAGTTCGAACAGATTATCATAACTTTGGTACTTTAAGTGATCTACATGGTACTCACTTGACAAGGCATTCAAGAGAAGTCATTTTTGAAGATGCAGTGATGGTCAAAAGTGATTGCCAATTTCTAAAAGAAAGTGACTCTGGTGTACTTGTTTATTTTTTGGATAAACAAGGAAAGTGGCAGCCATTTGCATATGGTGTATGTGATATAGAAGATGATGGTGAGGGTGGTGAGGGTGGTTGTGGTGATGGTGGTAATATTAATGATGATGATGGTAGTGATGGTGGTAATGATGATGATGATGGTGTTGATGATGGTGGTGATAATGGTGATGATGGTGATGATGGTGATGGTGGTGATGGTAATGATGATGATGAGGGTGATGGTAGTGATGGCAGAAATATTGATGATGGTGAGGGTGGTGAATGTGGTTGTGGTGATGATGGTGACATTGAACGTGATGGTGTGGGTGATGGTGTGATATTTGAAGGAGGTCCACGTTTGAAGACCTTCGTATGTTTAAAATTAGATAATGCTTTAACTGCTGTTGAATTGAAGGATTGTGAATACTACAGGTCAGAGGTCAAAACAGCAATCCAACGTAATCGGAACAAGACCAAACGATAGCAGAAGTTTCTACTAACATTGACAAGAAATAATAAGACATAAGATTGTTTCTGAATATTGCCGAACTGGATCCGCTGGTGAATAAAATATCTTTTCTTCATGAATAATCGTTTGTTATTTTTGATAAGTTTGATAAACTCATTAGGTTTAAGATAGATATGGAAATCAGTACCTGGATTGTATTGCAAATCTATGCCATTTTTGTAAAAAAAATCCACTATTGATAGGCAGGCTTAGGTGGGTATATAAGCAGATAGATAAATAGATAAAATAGTAAATAGTTTAATAAAATTTGACATATGGCAGCCCATTGGCTAAATTGCATGCGGAGTTTTAACAATGAGAATTCTATTACCAAAAGTCAACAAAAAAGTTTGGATTATATATAACTTAAAACTGGACAAATCGTAACTTTTTCATGCTCAAACGATAATAATATCTTTTAGTATCTGTAACGAAAAGTTTTGAAATCGTGAAACGTACATGTTTGGACGAGGCCCATATAACAAAAGATGAATCATATGTTCATGTTACCCCTAAAAAAGCTATTAATTTCGAAGGAGCTAAATGCGGCAAAACCTGCATAAAGCTGAATGACTTCTAAAAATGCGCACAGAATGCAATATCGTAAACATCTTGATCTCTTTTTCAAAAAAGATTGTTTCTGAGATGATAGTCGTTGATCGATGCAATTGACGTCATATTATTTCGGTCAGGTTTTCATTGTTGTTTCGTTCATCACAAACGTCAACTTTGTTCCTTCTGAAAACTTCATTGTTGAATTGTAATAAATTTTCATATTTTGAGCAAAAATTCTTTATCGCCCACCTAGCTATTTCATACGACAGCATTTAGTCAATAACCAGATCTTTTTCCTTCCAAACATGCCCTTTTTCCCAACTTTTACAGGGTCCAGCAGCGATAGGCTCGTCTCAGAGGTGTTTTCTTCTTTAGGTTTGAAAGCTGCTTTATCTTTCTGGCAAATGGCGAGTTTACGTAAGAATTATTTATGGTGGTGACAAAACACAGTAGAATTGCTTGATATTATTTGTGTAGGACACTGGATCGGTCACAACGCAGGTCAGCGGTAATTTTCTGCAAACGTCATACATGTTTTCAACCCTCGATGTTAAACAATTTAAATTTTCCGTCAAAATGATGGAATACTCTTCCAGAGTTTTGGTGATTTATGCGGTAATGAGCTCTTGTTTTCAATTTGGTTTGCATAACTTCGAAAATTGAAATCTTTTGGGAAGATCTTACATTTCGTCAAAATATTTACTTTTAAGCCGATTTGTGAGACTGACTTAATTAATTTTGTCAGACAATGAGTTCAACTGCTGAGCCGATATCTTAATGAGAAATTCCTATATATTTTTTGTCATACACATTTTGAATGATTGTTCTTGGTGGAAGTTGCGTTGCTAAGTTAGCAACAGATATAGTATATCCTAAAAATTATGAGACCAACTCTTAAATGTAGACCAATAACCAATTAAATATTTAAAATTGGCTTTACTGCAAGTTTACATTGTGCTTACGTACTGAAAATTTGGTACTGAAATTGTCCTTTCTGGTGTCGTCATGCTCAGTTGTTATTGCTTGCAAAGCTGTCGGCCCTAGAGCGTTAATTGCTTGGGAGAGGGGGGGAGGGAGGGGTTCATACTCTCAGTTGTGTCGTTCTGATTTCATTTTGAAAAAATTTTAACTCAAGAGAAATCTATGTGCGAACTTCTTTAAAAGAAAGCAGTCCTGCTCTGGTTGCACAACTGAATATAAAAGTAAATAACCCCCTACTCACACAAAAAAAACCGTACAAAACCAAACCAAAAAACAACAAAAAGCAACACAAATAACGCTCTAGTTACGGCCCTCTTTGTTTGTATCTTTCACAGTCACATTATCGTCCAGGGAAAATGGTATTAGTTAATGATTACTTTCATTATAATGCGTCATTATGTTTATAGGATATTTAGAATTTTGTAAGATTATCGTAACTATGTTTTAAGAGAATATATCAAACAAATTACCTAAAAACTCTCGAAAAACTCTGTAAAGAAATTATTCGGTAACCTTAAATGCAACTTACTGTATTGAAAAATACCTATTATATTGCATGGATTAAAATTTAGCCAATGGTAAAAACAACTATTAGAAATAAGAATCCTTTGGAACTAATCACTCTCTCAGAAGTAACTTCCATTTGAGTCAACTAATTTGGAAATCGAAATATTTTGAGCGGCTTCTTGCGAAACTCTTCTGCAATTCATAAAAGCGCTTCTTTCCTCTCGGGTCCAGGCCACTTATTTTGAAACGCATCCTTGCATCACAAAGAAAATGCCAATACTGTACCATCACACGAATCATTTGACAACAAGGTAGTTGGTGAACGCGTTATTATCAAAGAATTTACCTAGCAGGCACAAATAGGATGAATCTCTGACGGTTTAAGGATAAAAATAAGGTGTTCTACATCTTATAGGGTACGTAAATAAGCCTGTTGTTCTTCGTAATGTGTGTGTAGCGATCAAATAAGATTAACCTTTGTATGTATGTCGTAAAGCCAAATTTCATGCTTAGTGCATGACTTGTGTTTAGAAATTTTAATGCCATAATGAAATGTGTAAATTTTAATCCTTTTCAGAAAATTTCAAATAAAAAACTATTATTCTCGCAGTCAGGAACACAGTTACATAGCATGGGTAAACATGAACACCAGATCAGCAATTGTTTGTTTAATTATTCGTCAAATGACGGTTAATTTTGACGGTTCTGGTTTCGAATGGGTTGAGTACATTTTGAATAATCGGGTGCAAGGATATCGCTACGCTCTATTTCTATTGGTTGAAAAATGTGAGGGTTCGTTTCTGTACGCTTACCACGCACAAGAGAGTTTAAAAAAAGAAAAAACTGAGCTAAGTGTCGAGAATATTGAACAATTGGTTCCTACTGGGTTAAGTAAATTTTACACAGAACAATTCAAGAGATTAAGTAAATTATTGGAAGAAACAATTTTATCAACACACAAAACCGTTATTTCAGATAAAAACTTTACGGAATGTCTTGTAGTGTTGGTGACTTATCAAAGTATTTTGCCTTTGTCTTTTCTTTTTCAATGTTTAGGTTTTTCTGATGACATGAAGCTTAAAGATCGTATTAAAATACATAAAGTGCTATCTCAATTTTTTCCAATTTAAGATGATTGTTTAACCGTGTATCACAAATCTCTAATTGATTGGTTAAAATCAGATGGTTATGAAGAGCATGAGTTTACAGTTGATCCCAAAAATGGACATAAGTTTTTATGGCATGCTTGTGAGAAAGTGCATGAACACATCAAGTCGATGAACATTTTTGAAGATCAGATGAACACTGCTTTGATTAAATATGCTTTGGAGAATGAAATATTTCATATATCACACGAAGATATTGATCGTCGTAAGGATGGTCGCTTGTTTTACAAGTGAAAATTACCAAAAGTGAAAAACCTTTGATCTCTGAACGAACTTTATGTTGATGGTTTACTTTTTAATACAAATGTATGGTCAGATAATTTGGTTATTTTATTATATATTAAACGTTCACTACATAGAAATGAAAGAATGTCGACAACTCATTCATTGTGAGTCATTTGACAATATGGTGTCGTTATAGATGAAAATTATTTTGTTTAAATTATAGAGTGACTTTCTTTGAACATTCTTTCGAAAACTGTGAATAAAATTTACTTTACGCTTGTTAATATCGTAGAAACAAGTTTTGTATGATGTTAAAAATTCACATTTATAAAACATCATCATGATATCATGTCATGTCATTGGGTTTTATGGTCATTAGTTGAAAAATGTGAGAGATCATTTTTGTACGTTTATTATGTACATATGACCTTAAAGAAAGAAAATGTTATATACTGTCAACAATTCCCGTATGTAAAAACATCATCATGACGTCATGTCAATAACTGTGATGGAAATTAATGAATAAAACTTTTATGATTTTGACACAAGTTCATTTGAACTGAAGAATTGAGTCTTTTCGAGTAAAATTTTTTTGATTAAAATATTGAAGAATGATAAACTTCACTTTCTAGTTTCATTTTTTAAAATAAAATTTATCATTATAATGTTGATGGAAATACAACGTTCAATATATAGCTATAGTTCTAACTTGTAACAATTGTTCACAACAATAAACGTTTTAAATTAAATGGTTTGAACCCGGGAGTATCGTTGCATGTTTGTAAATGTAGATCGTCCAGGTTGGTATAGTCCTGAGAAGGACTGTTTTTGTTGTTGTTGACTGACGTTTCGACAACCTTAACGGTAGTCCTTCTCAGGACTATACCAGTCCCGAGAACAGCCTTGTCGAAACGGCTCAGTTTGACTCTGAAAATGACTACCGCCAAGGTTGTCGAAACGTCAGTCAACAACAACAAAAACAGTCCTTCTCAGGACTAAACCAACCAGGACGATCTACATTTACAAACATGTAACGATACTCCCGTGTTCAAACCATTTACTTTAAAGTAACAGGTTTTGTTAAAACTTTCGTAATGTGAAGGATTTTACTATTCGCGACTAAAAGGGTTAAATTTAGAATGGGAAATATGTTCAGAAAAGATTAAATATTAAGGTTACACCACAAATGGAATGATAAAAAGTTATGAAAAGAATATTGTATAACATGTATGAACATTTATGTTGGACTATGAAAACTGACTACATTCCACAAATATGGAAAAGAGGCAAATGCAAAAGAGGAGAATGGAAGAATATGATCCAGGTTTTAAAGTTCGTAAGTAGAGTAGACAAGTTTTAAATTTAGTTTGCATGAGTATGAGGTTATTATGAAGGATCACGGTGGTCTATTTTTACAATTTGAAGATAAAAAACTAGGATTTTGTGATTAAATCTTTCAATTTTTTGTTGTCAATGTAAGTGGTCAAGTGCTGCAAGTAAATAGTTGGTTTTCACTCGCTTTTTTTTTAAATGCATACTAAAATATTTCAGTTTCTAAAGAAAAATTACAACACAATAGTCTATTTTAAAAAGCGTTCATTGAATTTCTAAAAGAAAAAAATGTCGCTAAGTAATTGCACGAAGCATAAAAACTTATGTGATCAACAAAAAAGCAAGTGACACCAAGTAACTGGAGTCAGATTGGAAAAGAAAAATTTTAAACTAAAACGTTATTTGAAACTGAATCAAAGGTTTTACCAAAATCAAAGGAGACCCCTCGAACAAAATCTGTATGCTCGTTCAACCATTTTGACCAAAGATACCGACGTTTGTAACCCTTACAACTTAACTAACATATGTTAATGAAAGTACTTAACAAAAAACGGAAAATGCCAAATGAGAAATTAATTTAACCTGGTGCAGAGAAGCCTATACCTCATCAAAGGAGCCTTTGTTAAAAGATATTCTATCTATTCTTACATGAAGTACGCCAACTCAATGTTTCCTGTTTCTATTTTGTTATTTGCATTTTTATTTGAGACAGATACTTTTCCTTCTTGTTTTAATGTAATAAACCATATTTAATCGTTTGTACTTTGCTTGAAGTTTTCTCTTATGCCAAAGAAGACAAGTACCTCCAAAGTTTGAACGCTTCTACCAAGGTATTTATATAAACAACTAATATTTGAAATACCGTAATAAAGTAAATGGTTTGAACCCGGGAGTATCGTTATATGTTTGTAAATGATGATCGTCCAGGTTAATAAAGTCCTGAGAAGGACTGTTTTTGATGTTGTTGACTGACGTTTCGACAACCTTAGCGGTAGTCATCTTCAGAGTCAAATGAGGAGTAAACGTCAGGTTAGCCGTATTTATTGTCTGGTTCTTACGTCATTGTATTGTGTGTACAGGAAATGTGCAGGAAATGTGTCATTGTGGATTATGTGAAGTGAAATATTTTATTTTTAGTTGTGATGTGTGATTTAGGTGTGACGTTTTTAGTTGTAATGTGTGGTGTCAATTGTGTATTGTCATTGTGAATTAGTTTGAAGTGTAATGTTTTAGTTGATCGTTTGTTTGTATTGTGAATAAGTCGTTTGTAAGGTGCCGGTAATTGCTGTGATCTGTTCAGGGTTTGTTCCAAATTGGTATACCAACTTTCTGTCGCGTGCCTGTCAGTACTGTAAGTGATGCATTTTGCCGAGTCCCAGTCAATGTTGTGCTTTGTGATTCGGTGATGTTCGGCAATGTGATTAGTTTTGTCTTGTTTCTTAGTAGCTCGTTTGTGCTCAGTAAGTCTTATGTTTGTTCCTGCCAGTTTCCTCGATATAGGAGGCGTGGCAGTCGGAGCAATTTATTTTGTAAACTGCACCTTGTCGTTCGTTGGTTGTTCTTTGTCCTTTATGTCGTTAGTACTTGTCGTAATGTTGTGATTGGTTTATGTGCGACACGTATGTATGGTCGTAAGATACGCGAGATAGTCTCAGACGTACCTTTGATGTAAGGTATCGTTGCTGTTGTCACTGAGTTGTTCGTTTCGTTGGGTTCGTTGGGTTTGTAAGTGTTGCGTTTGATAAAGTCAGAGTTATAGTTGTTTTTGTCAAAAACACGTTTGAGATAGTTGTTTTCGTTTTGTAGAGCGTCCGGTGAATCACATATGATTTGTGCACGTCTTGTTAATGTTCTGATTGTGGTGGCTTTGTGTGATGTAGGGTTGTAAGATGATTGGATCATTCTGTGGTTCGCCTACTTACGAACAATTGTATCATTCTGTGGTTCGCCTACTTACGAACTTTCAAAGTACTTGACTAACATACTGCAACCACTCACAAACAAATCAAAACACAAGCTACAATCCACTGAAACTTTCATTAAAAAACTGTGCACTATACAAATACCAGACAACTATATACTAGTGTCTTTTGATGTGAAATCACTGTTCACCAGTATTCCACTTAATCTGGCACTTACTTGTACAAAAACCCTCATTACAAACACCACGGACGTACTGCCATTACCGACAGAAGACATTATGGAGTTACTAGAGCTCTGCCTCACCTCGACTTACTTCCAATACAAAGGAACACACTACAAACAATTACATGGGACAGCAATGGGCTCGCCCGTTTCTGTTGTAGTTGCTGAAATTGTAATGCAATCTATAGAGGAACGGGCACTCATGACTTACAAACATGCACTACCTTTTGGTTTCGCTACGTAGATGACACATTACAGCACTACATGCAGACGAGATTGATGACTTCCATACCACATCAACAAACAGAACAGCCACATACAATTTACCAAAGATGTCGAAGAAAACGGAACTCTTCCTTTTCTCGACTGTTTGGTAAAACATGACAATCAAAAACTAGGAACAACAGTTTATCGCAAGCCAACACATACTGACCGACTACTAGACCAATCATCTTACAACCCTACATCACACAAAGCCACCACAATCAGAACATTAACAAGACGTGCACAAATCATATGTGATTCACCGGACGCTCTACAAAACGAAAACAACTATCTCAAACGTGTTTTTGACAAAAACAACTATAACTCTGACTTTATCAAACGCAACACTTACAAACCCAACGAACCCAACGAAACGAACAACTCAGTGACAACAGCAACGATACCTTACATCAAAGGTACGTCTGAGACTATCTCGCGTATCTTACGACCATACAACATACGTGTCGCACATAAACCAATCACAACATTACGACAAGTACTAACGAACATAAAGGACAAAGAACAACCCAACGAACGACAAGGTGCAGTTTACAAAATAACTGTTCGACTGCCACGCCTCCTATATCGGGGAAACTGGCAGGAACTTAAACATAAGACTTACTGAGCACAAACGAGCTACTAAGAAACAAGACAAAACTAATCACATTGCCGAACATCACCGAATCACAAAGCACAACATTGACTGGGACTCGGCAAAATGCATCACTTACAGTACTGACTATAGACAACGGCTTACATTAGAAAGTTGGTATACCAATTTGGAACAAACCCCCCTGAACAGATCACAGCAATTACCGGCACCTTACAAACGACTTATTCACAATACAAACAAACGATCAACTAAAAACATTACACTTCAAACTAATTCACAATGACAATACACAATTGACACCCACACATTACAACTAAAAACGTCACACCTAAATCACACATCACAACTAAAAATAAAATATTTCACTTCACACTAATCCACAATGACAATACACATTTCCTGCACATTTCCTGTACACACAATACAATGACGTAAGAACCAGACAATAAATACGGCTAACCTGACGTTTACTCCTCATTTGACTCTGAAGATGACTACCGCTAAGGTTGTCGAAACGTCAGTCAACAACATCAAAAACAGTCCTTCTCAGGACTTTATTAACCTGGACGATCATCATTTACAAACATTTGAAATACCATCGATCAATTTTCTATAAAAGCGATTGTGTTAAGTAGCGTAGTCATTTCTCAAGTTTAGTCACGCTATGAAAATTTCGGAACTTTATGATCATTTATTTCTTTGGAAACCTTTTGTTTTCATTGAGAGTCTTTCACTGATCATCAGAAAGTTTAATAAAATCAATTGTGTTTTTTTAATGTACACCGTGAATGTTTAACGACATCAAAACTCAATGTTCTAAAGCTATTCATCCGACATCACTATTTACTTAATAAAAACTTAAACAGAGAATATTGTTATAGTTCATAGCTCGACAAAATAATGCGAACGTGGCATCATCGACATTCATTCATTGTCATTGATAACTCATAGCAAAATTCTTTCATTTTCCTTATTTTGGTCGTACATTTTGTGTAAATTTTATGTGAACTCTTCGAGAGTGTAGCTTTTAATTAATTCTTTGCATAGCCATAGCTTATCGCTAGTTTTGAAAGTATAACTGAGTTGATATTACTTTAATTACCTTGTTGAATTTTTGTTGTAAATTTTTCATGTGAGATTCAAAATTTTGCTAAAAACCAATTGTTTTGTGCATATGAACACCTTCACTGCCCCATTCATATAAATACAAAAACAAATAGTTCACCTTAGATAATAAACTCAAAAGAACATATAAAGTGTGAATGGACTATTAAACAGACAGTTGTAACATTTTGAAAGATCCAAAACATTCTTTGATCATTTTCTTTCCTCCACATATGTTTAGTCTTGTAGTAACAATGGAAATATTAAATGGCCGTAGGATATTAAGCTGTATTTAAGAAGTTGATATTGTCATATTTTTGTAATGTACCAGAATCAAGAAATATAAAATTTCATGATGCCTATTTTGTATTATTTTCTTATGAAAATAGTGCAAGCTGATTGATGAAGGGTAAGTATTCTTGTTAGTAAAATATTTTTTATATAAAATTCTTTGTAGCATAACATTTCTTTTTCCGTTAATACAATACAAATAGTAGAGTAATTTGATATGGATATGGTTTCAAATTCCATTCCATTGATGTAGACATAGTTTTAAACTTATGTCATAAGTGATAAATCACTGGAAAATACTAAAAGACATGAATACAACACAAATCTGTATTTTACTGTACATATTATCAATGCATTATTTGATAATGAAGTGCATTTGAAAACATTTTCTTGTCTACATTTTCAGATAGTCAAACTCTAAATATATAGTTTATTGATCTGTTCTAATTTTGTTATGTAAAATTTTAAATTCTAAAGATGGCATTCATATCAGTAGCCACTGGTCCGTACTAATATATAATTGTTTGGTTGTAATAAAGTGAATGATTTAAACCTGGGAGTATGGTTACATGTTTGTAGATGTAGATTGTTCAGATTTGTGCAGTCATGAGAAGGATTGTTGTTGTTGATGTTAATTGATATTTTGTAATTCTTAGTGGTAGTCATCTCCAGAATAAAGTGAGGAGTAAAAGTCAGGTTTTCCATATTTGTTGTCAGGTTCATACGTCATCATATATTGTGTGTACAGGAAATTTATCTGTGTGTGAATGTCAATTGTGTATTGTCATCATGGATTAGTCCAACGTAATGTTTTTTGTTCTTCATTTTTTTCAGGTTATTGCTGCCACCCTGGGGCTTGCACATAATCATGACATAACTGTACCCAGTCCTTCTGGCCAAACTATATAGAGGTGAAATCTTGATTTGTTTCTGTCTGTCAGTTTCTTTTTTTTCTGGGGGGGGGGAGAGAATTTTTACAGAATGAGCTTACAATCACAACAAAGTAGAACCTTTCCAAACATTTGAGATATTTTGTACTTATTTCTACTTTTATTTAAGGTTTCAGAAATTGGAGATAAACTGTCGACATGATTACGATTCTTTACAAAGTTCTTTCAAACAAGGTAATCCTCCTCCAAGTTATCATTATGAAAACTGAACATTTCATAACATCAGGTGATTATTATCTTACTGTGTTTATTTTAATCTTTAAAAACCATTGAATGTATTTTCTCTTTTCTTTTATTTTGAGTGGATTTTGAATAAATTGTGAACTAGAAATAGCGTTTTACATTCTGCTCTTAATGTCAATTGAGATTTCATAATTTGGCGTAATGTCTTTCAGTGTTGGACACTGTGGGGTGGGGTTAGGATAAATAGGGTTTTGATAATACTTAAGGTGAGGGATTTGTTAGGGTGAGGAAGAAGGAGAAGAGTCATGGTGATGGTGTGCAACGCTTTCTCACCTATCTAAACACTGTGCAATCCTTTCTGACCTATGTATTTAAACTCTACAGTACCGACCTCGATTAACATGACTTGACTCGTGAGTATCGAATGGCGGGTCAATTGCGAGTGACTCTCGAGTGTGAGAAGTTTGCGAGTGAATAAGTGACTTGCTATTTGCGAGTGAATCGAAATAACTAGCAAAAATTACTTTCTCCAGTATTTGAAATGGACGAACATAATCTTAAGTGTAGTGACAAGTAAAATCACACCATCTCATTCATTTTTGTCGACGTGAAGTCAATGAAATTGTTTCAGAAACCAATCTCATATTTGAAACATTTCTACTGGCAACTGAATCGCAAAAGTTCTAGCCATTTACTATACACGTGGTCTTATATCGTTCTTGCTATTAAATGTCTATGGCCTTTATATCAATAGCGACTACATCCAAAACACCAGGTCAACGAAGTTCTTTCAGAACTGAATTCAAAAGATTATACGTACACTCATAGCATAGCTAGATTCCTTAAATATTTGGCTTTAAAGAATATTTGTTTTTTTAATGCATTCTTTCCTAAGATTATATATGTCCATAATCTAAGGCCCTGTTCACACGATACCGGATTCGTTTGATACCGGATTACTTTTCGTACCGGATAGGCCTTGCGTTTACACGGCTCCGCTGCTATCCGATACGCTTTGTATCGTTTTCCGGAGCGATTTGACTCCGCTGTGGAAGTGGTATGAAAACCAATCCGATACGTTCCGTTGTCGTGTGAACGCTCGAATCCGATACGTTCCACTTTGGCAACTAAGAAGTCCGTGCGATTTTTCAAAAATGAAAGCAAACATAGCGATACAAACTATGTTTTAAATGAATAATCCGCCAGCAAATATAATATATCTTCAACATGGCATGTTTAAGCTTTTAACAATGTATTATCGCAGTGTGAAAAGCTTCTTTCTAGTATTATTGTAATGGAACATATATTCGGTCGTATTTGAACTCTACACTCTTCCAGTCCTTGCGCCCATTCGTAAAAAACCTTAATACGCCTAAGAAAAAACTCTACTTAGTTATCTGTCAAAAAAATTCTCATTTTCTTACGAAATATTTGAATTAGCAACCATCGTCGTTATCGTTTGCACGCACAAGTACTGGGGCGATATAAAAACTTATGTATCGTCTTACGAATCCGGCATCGTGTGAACAGAGTGCATTTTTCGTATCGGATAGCTCAGCGAATCCGGTACAAGACGAATCCGGTATCGTGTGAACAAGGCCTAAGACTGTTAGAAGAAAATGTTTGAGCGATATTTCAATTTACTCATTGATTGCGTGCCATTTACTTTACATTTCTCTATGGTCTCTACCGCTTTACGAATAACGTTTGTGCCATGGAAAATGTGAAGTTATTAAAATGCTTTTGTAAAAAAATTCAAAAGATTTTAACGTCATTAGGTCCCGAGATATTGCTTCAAATGAATAGTCGTTTTGCTCCCATGTTTCATAAAAAGATAAAACCGTTGCCTTCAAAATGTTGAACGAATTTTACTCGTCACTACACTTAAGATTATGTTTGTGAATTTCAAATACTGGAGAACAAAATTTTTGTGAGTTATTTAGATTCACTCGTAAACAGCGAATTATTTTATCCACTCGCAAACAGCGAGTCACTTATTCACTCGCAAACTTCTCGCACTCGAGAGTGACTCGCTCACTCGCCTTTCGACACTCGCGAGTCATGTCATGCTACTCGAGTCAAGTCATGTTACTTTTTGTAACCCTTTCTCACCTATCTAAACCCTGTGCAACCCTTTCTCACCGATGTATTTAAACCCTATGAAACCCTTTCTCACTTATGTTTATAAACCCTATGTAACCCTTTCTCACCTATCTAAACGCTGTGCATCCCTTTCTAACCTATGTATTTAAACTTTATGTAACCCTTTCTCACCTATCTAAACCCTGTGCAACTCTTTCTTACCTACTTAAACCATCAACACCCCAACATTAAGTTCACAAATAATAATGTTATAACATTTGGTTTGAGTGACTAAATTCGAAGACTGACTACGCTACTGTATGTAAAGTTAGTTTTATTTGTTGCTTTTAGTGCAGTAATTTCACGAACACCTTTAACTAACAAACACTAACATAATTATTTTATGTTTATTTTATTCTCAACCTGACAGTTTAGCCAACGAACACTAACATAATTATTTTATGTTTATTTTGTTTTCAACCTGACAGATCGAATACAGATTTGGGTGACCAGGATTGTGAATTAAGAATCGTCAAATGCATCAATATTCCACTTCCTTCAGGTAAATATGTCTTTTCTTCATTATTGTTGAATTGGATTAAAATCTTTGTGCTTAGGATTTAGGATAAAATATAGTGGATTAATAAGATGTCTAGAGGATTAATAAGGTGTCTAGAGGATTAATAAGTGTCAGGTCAAACAATGGATGTTTGATCTGATACATACATCTATAAACCTTAAAAATCAATCTTTAAAAAATTTCAATATACTTCAAGGTTACAACAAAGACGATATGAAAGTGTATGTGTCCTATGAATTTCTCTTTCCAAACGTAAGTTGGTTTATGTTTCATTTAAGAAATAAAAGATGTTTACTGTGTTTGCACAGGCTTATGCAAACCAAGTAGACCTTTGAGAGCAGATCAGTGCAAGCCTGAGACCGAAGGTCGAGGGTTACACAAGCTCGAGAGTTCTCACAAACGTCTCCGAGGTTTGCATAAGCCTGTGCAAACACGAAAAACATCTTTTATTTCTTTAATAAAATAACAATAATGCGAAAAAGACAAACATTTTAATTTTTCCTCTAAAATGTATTCATGATCGATTTGCAAATTCTCTTTGACTGATTGTATGTTTTCATTGATTTGATTGGTTGAGCTCAGATGTGTTTTGCACAGGTTAATGCAAACACGGCTCTAGACCAATCAGCGCACGCGTTTCATTGTGTTTATTTTATAAAAAAATCACATTCACACTACAATGATTCACCAACATGACTGTGAATTGACATCTTTGCATGATTGGACGCAATGCAAGAGCGTACAATTGTGACAAACAATGGAAGCATTGTTAACAATTTTGTTAGACAATAAAATCATTGTTCAAGCAGTTGTTCTCATTACCGTTGAACAAATTCTATGTTTTACAAACGACAGATTTTGCTGATGTAACAAACACTTTCCCACTTTTTCTTAAATCAATGTTATTTGTCTACACTAAATTTTAAAATTACTCAACTTTAGGATCAACCTCAAACTGGCTTCACGGAAACCATCAAACACAACATTTATCCTGGTAAGTTTTATTCGAAATGAATGATATCATACAGCATTAGTTCCCTGCATGATCTTGTATTGAGGGGTGAGTGGGGACTGGGGAGGAGTTGCTTTACTATGCTACCTCAAGCAAATAATTGAAGCCATATCTTACGCCTGACACGCGAGATTTTACCCCAGACACGCGTGTTTATTGTTTCGAGATTCTATCGCGAAGTAATAATCGATTGACTACACACGCGTGTCTGGGGTGTCTGGGGTAAAGTCTCGCGAGTCTTGAGTAAAATCACGGCTTCAAAAATTATTAGAGTTTTGTATTACAGGTAGCGTTCCACGTATTTTAGTTCAATGCTATGGACAGAATGGTCGTGTTACTTAAGTACTCATGACGTCATTAATATCCTATGTTGTGGTTATTGGAGTGGCAATGGGGACTGGGGAGGAGTATTTTTACTAGAGACAAAATGGTCGTTTTACTTCAGTTCTCGAGACGTCAATAATATCCAATGTTGTGATTGTAAGCTTTTTTGATATGCTAGAACCTTCCCCTCTCATTAAATTCATTATCCTACATCGATGATCAATTACGCTGTTCGTATAGAATTTGATCAAAAGTTTAAGATATCTATCTACAGAAAAAAACCGATCGTTGGCGAGAATGTTTCGACAACAAAGTGTGAAATTTGAGGTAAAATACAACAGGTTTGTCGTACGTGAGATGGATGTTTCATTGTTTTACATTATATGAAATATTTTTTATCGTCAGTAAATGTTCAAACCATTTAGAGGATTTCTGAAAGGTGACAAGACGCTGGGTCAAGCTTCTCTTAAGTTATCACCGTTTGATAATAGATGTGAAATTCACGAATGTCTAAATGTAAGTAATGTGTGGTATTTTTTTGAACTTTATGAATTAATAATTGCAGAAACTGTGCTTAAATCATTGAACTATATATAACTGGACGGCCACCAACCCTCTAAAATTTGAAGACAACATTTCGGTAAGCTAAAATGCCGAACTATACGCCTATAGTATAAGCTTTGTACAAATATAGGCATGTTTACTCAATGTAGCATTTTAGACTTCACCATCTTCTTAATGTCTGCCACGTGATCTGTAAAGGCAGAAAAAGGACTAGAACTAGTTTTCCAGTTAGACCTCCATTATTTCATAAACACATCATACGTAATGTCACTTAAAATACATGTTATCTTGATTCAAAATTTACGTACGTAAGAAACGATTGCTGTCGTAAGTGGACTTAATTACAATTGCAGCTTATGGATCCCGAGAAAGGTCGCAAGGTGATTGGTGGAAAGGTTGAAGTCAAATTACGTATTCGTGAACGTCTGACAGATAAAGATGTTGAAATCTTGACGCAAAATTGGTTGGTCATCGATGCATTTGTAGCACCAACAAATAGAGTGAGTATATAAAGTTAAGTTGTGTATAAATATGTAGTTTTCACAGGGTTGTGTTTGTTGCATTGAACTAAAATACATTGAACGTTACCTGAAGCAAATAATTAAAGCCAAATCTTACACTCAGACACGCGTGTTTAGTGTTTCGAGATTCTGAAAATTGATTGACTACACACGCGTGTCTGGGTGTAAAATTTAGCTTCAAGAATTTCTTAGACTTTTCTATTACAGGTAGCGTTCCAGATGTATTTTAGTTCAATGGTTTATATCACGAAACCATGATTACGTTAGACTGAATAGTGGATTTATAAAACTTATTAAAATGTTATACATACTGTATGCAGCAATGAAACTGTCTTATATTGAAATGGACGTTTTAGTTTATCTATAAAACATTTGAAGTACATGAGCTATACTATAGATAAATAAATATTCTGGATACAGAAACTCGAGGACATTTTTTTCTTTCCATATAACTGAGTCACATGTCTCCTCATTCTCTCCCCTCCTTCGTATTTCGTTAAATGTTCACCGTTGCGTATTGGCTGTTATAAAATAGTTTGCAATTGGTTGTCTTTCTTAATTTTTTAGCCAATCAGTGCTTCGTCAACAAGTAAGGTATAAATCCTTTGATATGTATAATATATGGATTGCGCACCATGTATAAAATATAAGAAAATTGAAGCCGGAAGTGTGCGCATTTGCTTATGACCTTCGTGTGGGGCTGTAGGACCCACTTTACTCTACTTTTGTAGTAGAAAATCATAGTTTTCGCGTTTTTATTCCTTTTACAAAGCATTGATTTAAGATAAATTTTAATCAATTGGACAGGAAGACCGATAGAGAATTTCAACCCCTTAAGTTATGTTTTCTCGTCTTGTACAAGCTTATACATCCCATTTTCAGTAGCTATGTATGAACACGAATCAGATCTGATTTTTTCACTAGAAGTTTCACTTTAGGTTTTTTAAATGTTCAAGATCAACAAAAGCGATAGGAAACATATAAAGCTCATGAAAGCAGAAAATGATCGCATCGTCAATATATATTTAAAGAAATGTGGGGCATACACTCTGCACAACTTCACGTTAAATTTTTAACAATGAATACTATCCATATATTTTACATATCAATGTATCAATCAGTTAATGGCAAAAAGTTTTCTATCTTCCTTTTTTCTTTGAAAGATCTGCGTCTTTCTGTGTTAATAATTTACTATTTTTAAACTCGGATTGCTTCTAAAATTATTCAAAAATGTTTTCTTTTTACAGCTTAAAAATCCAGAAAATGGCAGAAAAGCAAAGAATTCAAAGCAGTAAGTACATTAATTATCTTTTATTTTAGGCAATATATGATACCAAGTTATCACAGAAATAATCTAAATTTTTTATGAATAAACTAAAATTTTTAATACAACGTTAAATTATAAAGTAAACTATAATATAACTAAACAAAATTTTTCTTCTCACATTTTCTGTTTAGATCTAAAGTTTGTACGATTGAATAAAGATGCTCTTTAAAATTAATATATTTCAATAATATGAACAAAGTGTAAAAATCTTCTAATTTAGACTTTTTATATTTTGATATTTATTACGATATTTATTTTGTGTCATTTCAACATTAACTTTCATAAATGAAATTGTCGAATATTTATCTGGATTATTTCCTCGTAACTAATTTAAAATCCACAACATAAATAACTCGTGATTTTGTAATATGCTCTAAAGTAGTTAAGACACTCTAAGGTCTAGTTCAAACGTCCAACTTTATATGAGCCGAACGTATTTAAAACAAAAAATAATGAGGAAGTTCATCTCATTTTCTTTTGTTTTTAAGGCGTTTGGTTCATGTAAAGTTCGACCTTTAAAACAGGACTTAAGTTCATTATACTTTTAGTAATATTATTCGTTTTATAGAATGTGAATCACTGTTCGTTGTATTAAAAGGAATTTATCGTCGCCTCGATTATAAATTAATTCACTGACAATTTCATTAAAAGTTGACATTTACTATATTGAGAAAGTTGTAGATATCATGCTTAAATGTATAAATACAATTTCAATGTTTAAATGTTGACGTTATCGATTCATTATACAACAGAAAAAATATATTTTGTGTCTTTTTGTACTTAAATTCTGTTTGCTCTAAGGTTGAGTGCATATGTGAAAAACAGAAAAAGGTTTTTTTAAACATAAATTGTACAGAAAATGACACTGTACAGTTTTGAAACTTTACCTATAAAAAAATTGAACGGTCATTTTTGGTCATTTGGTCAAAATGGTCATTTTTGTTACTTCTAGTAAAGTATATTTTACCTCAAAGCATTATGTTCAATGGTGCATAAGGGTGATTTTGACCAGCCTAGTGCTTGTAACATGATGCAATTCTCAAAAAACTTAATGTGCAAAATCTTTTTTGTCATTTTATTTGTCATCTAGTTTATTTGAGTTTTCACAGTAACTTGGTATAGCCATCTAGCTGTATTGAGATAAACATTAATTCATACTGAATGGTAAATTTTGTCACATGACATTTTCATGTGACCATTGTAGTAGTATCATTTATGTATCAAGTTAATAATTAATTACGTTGACCATGTGCATTCCTATGGAGCTTCGGTAAATCTATTCTGTGAAATAAACTTATATTTTGATTCTTGCCTACTTCCACCATCATGAGTTCAACAAACTGTCAATAATTTACACTCAAAATAACAGTAAATGCACTTTCCACACCTCCTCCTCCTTACAAATAACTACTTGCCGCAAAACATCACACTTTTTTTAGTTTTCTCCTTGAGTCATGAACAGGCAAGTCTCACTCTGACTCTAAAATAAATGGAAGTGTGAAACTATTGTCAAGTAAACATAAATGATAACGAGGAAAGGTTTACTGGGGGTTGCAGAGGTAAGGGTGTACACACATCCTACCCTTAGTTAGATGGTGTGCAAGAGAGGAGTTAGTTTCCCTATAAAATGTTACTATACAATGTAGTTGTGACTTGTATTTGATGGAGCAGACTTCCAAAAAAATATCAACAAATCATGGCTAGCCTATGTCAGAGGGCCATTCTTGTTGTACAGGTCTATGCAAATTGCAATATTAAAGGAAAGCTTGCTCCTGCACACAACATATGTTGCATCTGTTTAAGCAATTGCATAAATGATACTGCTTCATTCTGGCTCACAGGAGTGGCCTCCAACTCTGTTCTGATATCATCTTTATAAAATTTTTATTATTTTTGATTGAAAAAACTTGACGAAACAAAATGCAAACAAAATATAAAAAAGATAAAACCTGCCAAGCTGTAAATAACTTATTTTACAATTGCTTTTTAAATTAGATGTTTGCATATTGAAATCACAAAAATAATTAATTTTGAATAAAGCAATTTAATTTATGCAACAGCTCAAAGGAATGTGACATATGCAGGGTAATCTTTTCTTCATTTTACATAGATCCTTACATGAAGTGTAAGTCTATGGCATAGGTTAAATCATGACATAAGAGTCAGAAAGTTTAAGATAAATAGTCTGACATGGCAGGGCAACCTCTACCAAGTTGCCACTAAAATCTTATCTAAACTAGAGCACAGGTCCACTACAAAATCATCTTGGTTTCATTTCTATGTCAAGTAATTATAAAAGATCATAGTTCAATATTAACCATAAAATGTGTGATTGATGTTGTCTTCAAATAAGCTTTTCTCTGTAACATTGGCTGTCTAAATTTAAAAATTTGACATAATCTCACAGCTTATCATTTGCTTAATCAGCAGAAATATAATAACCACAATCTTCAACAACACTCTTTATGGTTTAAATAATGCACACATACAACAGGATTTTACCTTAAAGGAAGCATTTCAGTTCATATATGAAGGCAGAAAAATATTTAGCAGTACAAGAGCTTATGTGATCAATGTTTCACAGAAGAACATATGATAAAATTCAATGTTGTTGACCGCTCAGACTTCTAACAATCTTGGTAATAACGTATTTTATCTTAATATATATATATAAATCTATGAAAAAATCAGGATTACCTACACTAAAAATGGAGTTAACTATGGTGGCCCTTCCCATTGTTACCAAAGCATTTCTAAGACATTTTTAATATTGCTAAAAATTTATGTTTAAATTTCTTTATGTTTTTCATTTATATTCAAAATTATAATTTTTTGTGGCCATTATAAAAATATGTCATAAAAATTGCTATGGTAACAATGAGCCATCATGCTACGGAGATATTTCGACTTTTTTCTAATATTTGTAATTAACTTACAAAATCGCAACAGAAAAAGTTATCCAACCATGTATCAAAACCATATGTCGCATACCCATAATTTTCAAGGAGTTTTATCCAGTCAATTATCTATAAGTTTTGTCAAATTTTCGTAGATTCTTTGCAAGTGAAGATTCATTATGCCGACCGGTGTTTTGTACCTACTATAGTCTGACTATAGAAGTAATGTTTGGTTGGCGACTTAAGTCAGGAAACTTTGACAAAAAATTGGCCATTTTGATCGATGTTTGGATACCTTTTGCCCTATTTTCTATTCAAATAATTTTTCAGAATCATATTGGTGATTTATTGTAAAATTCTCGGTAAAATATGTAAATCAGACGACAAGGAAGTGAATCAGAATGATCTCGTGACGAGCCCATCCTTTACATTTGAATACACACGTCTACACTGCAACACGAGGAAAGACATAAATGAAGAAATATTTCATTATAAAACTGTGAATTTACGTTGTGGAACGAAGGAATGAGTGCTGAAATGTAGAAATAGTCGTTTTGGGTCATATTTTGTAAGTAAAATTCTATAAAACATTAATTTTAAAGCATTATTGTTTAGCTACTCTTTATATTGTATCACAGATTTTACTAACGTTTTGTATTTGAACTTTGATATAAATTTTTCCGTTGGCCGTTGATTTGTTTCATTTTATAGTTTTGTAACTAATTTTTGTACTTTATTTTTCTTCTTTTTTAGTTTGAAGTTCAAATAAAGGTTTCACGATTAAAACCAAAGATTGGATCTCCATTAAAAGTAAGTCAGAGTATTTACAGCATTATATTCTAAATAAATTTCTTTTTTGAAAATGGCTTCACCACCTGATAAACTGAAGATTGAGGCAAATGGATCTCGTTTAAGTAAACTTTTGATAAATAAAGGAACCCAAGCCTTAAAAACAACATTGCAATTAAATTTTAACAATTTATCATCAAGTTTGATAAATGAACTTAATGATTCTTCTGCAATGAACAAATTGACTTTACAAAAAAAGAAAAAAGTCATCAATGAAATGCAATGGGATCTTTTTTTATCCACCAACTGGTTCACCTGATGTTGAAAACTTTGACATGTCATTATTGACTGTCTTGTTACATTGGATGCTGATTTTTTCTTTATAAACTGTAACTGACACTAGTGCCAGTCCTCAAGAATCGAAACAATATTGTTGTTAATGTAAACTTAGGAATGTGTAATCTATTTTTACTTCTAACTCTTTATCGAAAATATACGAATCATTGCGATCTGGATATAAACGAGAACAATTGGTAAAGATACTTTACTTATATTCGGTTGTTTTGTTTGTTGTTTGTTCATTTCCTATTTAATTCTAAGTACATTTTCTGTATGTAACTAGTTGACATCTACTGTCAATAATACCAAATGTTGCATGCAGGTGCCAGAACTTTTATGCTGCGGGAGTTATACAAACTATACTTGTATATAGAAAAATGGCAATACATGAAAATTTATGTAGAGGGGGAGGAACATGTCCAATTATGCATCACCTTCGTTCTTTGCCAATGCCACTTTTGACTAAACTCTGTGTGTCTTGAAAATGTTTGATGATTGCTGTGTGCGAATTAGTTCAGAAAAAACGATGGGCAATTTTTTGACAAAGTGTTTCTTTAAAGGTAATCAAATTGATATTACATTAATTATTATATAGCGCTAATTGCTAAATTAATATTTTTAAACGTGAACAAATTCCTATGATTTACGACAGTGTTTTTCGTTAAAACCGCTGATCCAGTTACAAATGTACGAGAGAAATTTTTTCGCATGTTATCCTCTCCTTTTTTTTTGCAAACTTTACAGCGCAATAAATTCACAACTTGGCTATCATCCTAGTGATCAAACGAGTCAGCATTTGATGTTTCCATCCATTTTTTTACTGTCTTAACCTTGCTGGTAGCTACAACCTTTCGACGAAAATGGCAAGAAAGACAAAAGTGAAAAGAGAATAACCGAATATACTTTTGCTTTCTGATTATTAACAGTAGCATCCTTGATGTTTACTTATGATAAAAAACATCATAGCAAAAAGTATGGCTGATCAAGGTTGCCAGTTTGGCTTAATATTTTGAGTCAAACTTGGCTTCTTTTTCTCACGTTAGGCTTATTTAAAATAAAAATTTCCTTAGTTTATTCTTCAAATTTGGCTTATTTAAGTTTTTTTGTCTTGTTTTAAGAATCAAAATCAAAATGTTTCCCTTTTTACTGAAAATACTCAAAATAGCTATGATGCCAAAAACAGTACGTAACGGTTTACAAAACAACGCAAATGAAAAATTTACAGTGATAATGTATTACATCCCTATTGTCATAAGCATATAAGCGCCATGTATGTCGACTGTTGACAGACTTCTCAGTCTCAGTGACAACGTCTTTGAATTTGATGACATTGTGTGGGACATGGATTTTAATGTCGTGCAGCGCACTCGTTTATAAAGTAAAAATTAAGCTTGAAAACTTTCTTCAATTTATGTGGTAGTAATCAATAAAGACGTTTTTCGCATATTGTTTGAAAAAGGGATGTGCAGTTGTTTTCATTTTAGCTAAAACGATGTGCAAATTGCACATTGCACACCGTTAATTCACACACTGATGATTGTATTGAACAAACCGTTTATTTGAAAGTAAGGAAGTTAGCAAAATTAGCAAATTAAATGAGATATGATCTTCGCACTTAGCTGGACAATTTAAGCAATCGTCTCAGGACCTGAAAAAATCAGGTGACTCAACGGGATTGCGACGATTGCTTAAATTGTCCAGCTAAGTGCGAAGATCATATCTCATTTAATTTCAAACACCGCACTGCATAAAACATTCATACAAAATTAGCAAATGTTACACACGGGAAGAATGTATTTACACTGAGAAAGACGCAACCGAATCTATTTTTTGTGAAATGTTGATTCATGCAACACAGTGAGCTTTTAAAATTATACTTTTAATCATGTTTGTTTAACAGTTTTAAGGTTTACTTTCATTGCATCCTTTACTGTTGTATCTACAGTGTTTTTATTGATCATAAGTAATTATAATTGCGTGCAGTTGATGTTTGCTATGTATTCATAATTTACAATGGCTTATTCAATAACAAAGGTTTTTTATAATAAGAACTGATTTATTCAAGAATATACATGTATGGAATTTTTGATTAATGAAGTAAAAAATTCATTTAAAGTTTCGAAAATCGTGTCTTAATCATTGGAATTCAAATCCTGTCTTAGATAGGTGATTCTCTATTCCTGAGTTTAAACTTGTGAAAGTTTATAAGATTTAACAGTAGTCCTTTGGAATTTGACTAATCTCAATGTTATTATGTACTCTGCATGTTACGATATACATGTTACGATATACACGTTACGATATACACGTTACGATATACATGTTACGATATACACGTTACGATATACATGTTACGATATACACCTTACGATATACACGTTACGATATACGTTACGATATACACGTTACGATATACATGTTACGATATACATGTTACGATATACATGTTACGATATACACGTTACGATATACACGTTACGATATACATGTTACGATATACATGTTACGATATACATGTTACGATATACATGTTACGATATACATGTTACGATATTTACGTTACGATATACATGTTACGATATACACGTTACGATATACATGTTACGATATACGTTACGATATACACGTTACGATATACATGTTACGATATACACGTTACGATATACACGTTACGATATACATGTTACGATATACGTTACGATATACACGTTACGATATACATGTTACGATATACACGTTACGATATACATGTTACGATATACGCGTTACGATATACATGTTACGATACATGTTACGATATACATGTTACGATATACATGTTACGATATACACGTTACGATATACGTTACGATATACATGTTACGATATACATGTTACGATATACACGTTACGATATACACGTTACGATATACACGTTACGATATACGTTACGATACACGTTACGATATACATGTTACGATATACATGTTACGATATACATGTTACGATATACACGTTACGATATACACGTTACGATATACACGTTACGATATACATGTTACGATATACATGTTACGATATACATGTTACGATATACATGTTACGATATTTACGTTACGATATACATGTTACGATATACACGTTACGATATACATGTTACGATATACACGTTACGATATACACGTTACGATATACATGTTACGATATACACGTTACGATATACATGTTACGATGTTACGATATACACGTTACGATATACACGTTACGATATACATTACGATATACATGTTACGATATACACGTTACGATATACGTTACGATATACACGTTACGATATACACGTTACGATATACGTTACGATATACATGTTACGATATACACGTTATACGTTACGATATACATGTTACGATATACACGTTACGATATACACGTTACGATATACATGTTACGATATACATGTTACGATATACATGTTACGATATACATGTTACGATATACATGTTACGATATTTACGTTACGATATACATGTTACGATATACACGTTACGATATACATGTTACGATATACACGTTATACGTTACGATATACATGTTACGATATACACGTTACGATATACACGTTACGATATACATGTTACGATATACACGTTACGATATACACGTTACGATATACATGTTACGATATACATGTTACGATATACACGTTACGATATACACGTTACGATATACACGTTACGATATACACGTTACGATATACACGTTACGATATACATGTTACGATATACACGTTACGATATACACGTTACGATATACATGTTACGATATACACGTTACGATATACATGTTACGATATACACGTTACGATATACACGTTACGATATACGTTACGATATACGTTACGATATACACGTTACGATATACGTTACGATATACGTTACGATATACACGTTACGATATACGTTACGATATACATGTTACGATATACATGTTACGATATACACGTTACGATATACATGTTACGATATACACGTTACGATATGCACGTTACGATATACATGTTACGATATACACGTTACGATATACACGTTACGATATACATGTTACGATATACATGTTACGATATACATGTTACGATATACATGTTACGATATACACGTTACGATATACATGTTACGATATACATGTTACGATATACACGTTACGATATACATGTTACGATATACACGTTACGATATACACGTAACGATATACACGTTACGATATACATGTTACGATATACATGTTACGATATACATGTTAGTTTTTATTTTTCGTCTATTCATTAAAATTTTTGTTAACACTCTGCACTCTTTCATTTTTCGTTCTCTACTGTTTTCGTTTCTTTGTTCAACACAAAATATTTGCGGTGTGAATAAATAGGTAGTCAGCCCGCTTTTTTTGTCGCCGCTTTTTTTGTCGCTTTGCAAATTTAAGATACGAACGACGAAGCTACGATCTGACTACGCTGCATGTTAAAGTAGATCATCGGGATCATTGAAAACAACAAAATATGAAACATCTTAAAACAACAAAAATTTTACTAAATTTTCTAAATTTTGATCTTTTTATTGATTGAGGTTTTTACCGATCATTTCTTTTGTTTTAAAAATAGTGTCCATATTTGGGGCCAAGCGAAGTCGTTTGTCATAACATTATTTATTGTAGCTATCATGAATATTCACATTTATTTTATTCTCGCCTTTGGGTATTTCCCAAAACACTGCGTTTAATAAATATAATGGCATATGTTTTGAAAGAAAATATGTACGCAAGTTTCTGCTCAGTCAGATCTTCTAAGACAAATTTTTTTAATCTTCTGCATACACCGACTCAACGAGAAAATAAAAATGATTTTATACAGTATGGAAGTGTGATTTGCGTACACAATGAAAATTCCATGATTCTTTCATTTCACTAAGGAGTCCTTTTTACTTAAAATATTGCTTTAAGCATGAGCATTGTGATGATTTTTTACATTACTCACGGTAATACGCTTAGCCCAATTATATTAGCACACACCATTCGACAATTTTCTCCCCTACCATGAAGTGAGATGTTTTATGCCTATACCAAATACATTCCCAATGATATAGAGAGAAATGATAACACCAAATACACAGAGATTAATCTTGATAGTAGGTAGTTTGAGATTGACATTTTTAAACTACAATATGCTTCTCAGCCACTAACATCTGAGACCACATTCAATAAATATTTTCATTGCATCCTTTACTGTTGTACCGACAGTGTTTTTCTCATAGCTAAATAATTATAACTGCGTGCAGTTGATGTTAAAATGTATTCTGTAAGCTACTATAGTTTATTTAATAACAAAGGTTTTTATAATATGAAGTGACATGTGCAATAATACATGCATGGAATTATTGATTAAGCATGGGAAAAAATCTATTCACAGTTTCGAGAATCGTGTCTTAATCATTGGCATTCAAATCCTGTCTTAGATAGATGATTCTCTATTTCTGAGTAAAAACTTGTGAAACTTTATAAGATTTAGCAGCAGTCCTTTGGAATTTGACTAAGCTCAATGTTATTATGTACTCTGCATGAGGTTCTTATTTATGTATTTTTATTTCTATAACAATTGTTTTTAGTCAGTGATGTATACTTAGTTAAATAACTAGAATGTTCTACATAGATGTCATTAATGTTTTATAATACTGTTTGTTGAAGGGCATCCTAACTCACTCTTTATCTTCGTTCGTTATTTAAATGTGTTTATGTAACAAAACTTACATGGATAAAAGATTGATGTAACAATAAGGTATGAATTATGATCACCATTTTTCAACTGATATGTATGTGGTCGCGTTGTTTATATTAAATCTCTCATCCGTTTGTTGAGTATGACATGTAAAGAACTAAAGCAAGCATAATTTTGTTCACACAGTCGTCTTATTTCTTAAAGGAAGGTAATATTACATAAATTAAGCAATATTTTAGAACTACATTACCGACATAACAAATTAGCTAAAGCGGCATCTTGATAAAGTATGACTAAACATGCATGAGAAATCATATCTGAATTGATATACCAACTTTCTAACTATTGACAATAGCTGCATGGCAAAGGAAAGCAAAACACTTTCAAAGGCATGGGAGAGGTGAAATAAGATACTTGTCTACGGAAAAAATGGGAATCTGTGAAAATTTATGTAGAAAGGATAGCATGTCCAATCATGCATCACCTCTCTTTTTTTACCCGCGCCACATTTTACTAATCGCTGCGTGTCTAGCAAAATGTTGTTAAATGTATTGAGCAAATTATTCATTTGAAAAATAAGAACATTTGTAAAATAAGCAAATGTTGAACACAGGAAAATGTATTTACACTGAAAAGGACGCAACTGAATCTATTAAATGTTACATGTTTGTTTAACAGTTTTAAGGTTTACTTTCATTGCAACCTTTACTGTTGTATCTGCAGTGTCTTTATTGATCATAAGTAATTATATTTGCTTGCAGTTGATGTTTGTCATGTATTCATAATTTGCAATGGTTTATTTAATATCAAAGGTTTTTTATACTAAGAACTGACTTATGCAAGAATCTACATGTATGGAATTTTTGATTAGAAAAGGGAAAAATCTATTCACCGTTTCGAAAGACAATTGTGTCTTAATCATTGATATTCAAATCCTGTCTTAGATGATTCTTTATTCCTGAGTTAAAACTTGTGAACTTTTACAAGATTTAGCAGTAGTCCTTTGGAATTTGAGTAATCTCAATGTTATTATGTACTCTGCATGAGGTTCTTATTTATGTATTTTTATTTCTATAACAACTGTTTTTAGTCAGTGATATATACTTAGTTATATAACTAGAATGTTCTACATAGATGTCATCAATGTTTTATAATACTGTTTGTTGAAGAAGATCCTGAATCACTCTTCATCTTTGTCCGTTATTTAAATGTGTTTATGTAACAAAACTTACATGGATATAAGATTGATGTAACAAGGTATGAATTATGATCACCATTTTTCAATTTATATGTATGTGGTTCGTTTATATTAAATTCTCATCCGTTTGTTGAGTATGTGACATGTAAAGAACTAAAGCAAGCATAATTTTGTTCACACGGTCGTCTTATTTCTTTAAAGTAAGGTAATATGACATAAATTAAGCAATATTTTAGAACTACATTACCGACATAACAAATTAGCTAAAGCAGCATCTCGATAAAGTATGACTAAACATGCATGAGTAATCATATCTAAATTGATATACCAACTTTCTAACTATTGACAATAGCTGCATGGCAAAGGAAAGCAAAACGTTCTCAAAGGCATGGGAGAGGTGAAATAAGATACTTGTCTACGGAAAAATGGGAATCTGTGAAAATTTATGTAGAGATGGCATCCAATCATGCATCACCTCCATTTTTGCCAAGCCACATTTTACTAATCGCTGTGTGTCTAACAAAATGTTTAATTGTATTGAGCAAACCATTCATTTTAAAAGTAAGAACATTTGTAAAATAAGCAAATGTTGAACACTGGAAATATGTATTTATTAACTGAGAAAGACATTAAACCGAATCTATTTTGTGAAATGTTACATGTTTGTTTAACTGTTTTAAGGTTTACTTCATTGCAACCTTTACTGTTGTATCTACAGTGTCTTTATTGATCATAAGTAATTATAATTGCGCAGTTGATGTCATGTATTCATAATTTACAATGGTTTATTTAATATCAAAGGTTTTTATAATAAGAACTGACTTATGCAAGAATATTCATGTATGGAGTTTTTAATTAATGAAGGAAAAATCCATTCACAGTTTCAAAATTCGTCTTAATCATTGGCATTAAATCCTGTCTTAGATAGGTGATTCTCTATTCTTGAGTTAAACTTGTGAAACTTTATAAGATTTAGCAGTACCATTTGGAATTTGAATAATCTGTTGTTTAATATGTACTCTTCATGATATTCTGTTTATGTATTTTTATTTTATAACTATTGTTTTAGTTAGTGATGTATACTTAGTTGCAGATTAAACTGTTTGTTGAAGGAGATCCTGACTCACTCTTCATCTTCGTTCGTTATTTCAAATGTGTTTATGTAACAAAACTCAAATGGATAAAATGTTGAATTTTCAATATTGTATGAATTATGTCACCATTTTAACTGATATGTATGTAGTCGTTTTTATATTAAATTTCTTATCTTTGTTAGGTATGTAACATGTAAAGAACTAAAGCAAGCATAATTTTGTCCACACGATCGTTGTATATGAAGTCTTATTTCTAAAACAAAGGTAATTTTACGTAAGTTAACCGAGATTTTGTATTTACATTTCTAACTAAAAAATTTGATACCGAAGCATTGCGTAGTATGAAGTATGACTATAAACAAATGAATGTTTATTTCCATTCCAAATGAAAATCGTTTGAGGATTCTGTAAGTGACTTTTAAATCTATGTTTAATACAACGACTGGAAAGTAGGTTTCAGTTTTGTTTCAAATTATTCAAAAAAATTGCGGCTCTTACACGAAGAAAAGTTGGCAAAAATAATTCTGAGCCAGCATAGATGCACGTCATAATTTTTCAAATTTCTTTTAAATTCTTATTTATTTCAATTTCTTATTTATTTCTGATTTCTTATTTATTTCAACTTAAATTTCTTTTTAAAAACACGTCATAATGTGACATTTCTTTTAAATATAATTAAACTTAAGTAAACAGTACAATGTACAAATGTAAAGTAAAAATTAGGTTCCAGGGTCATAATGTGACATTTCGTTTTAAATATAATTAAACTTAAGTAAACAGTACAATGTACAAACTTTTGGAAACAGGGAAATGTTTTTCGAAGTTTCCTAATTTACTCACACTCGATATTCACGCAAAGATATTTTGCCTATTTTTATAACAAAGGAAATACGCTCATAAGCAACATACGAACATCAATTTTATCTCAAAAACAAAACCCACGTGATTAGTCTTTTCAAAAAAAATATAAAGTTTCCACACGATCCCTCATATGACTTTTATGTTACAAGTAATTTGCTATAGTACTTAATGTTATGGTTAATGTACATCTTCTCATCCTGTAAAATTCTCGCACACGTTGTTCTGCCTCGATCGCTGCTTGTCTTATAGGTACAAAATGTTCGGCGTTTGATTTAATTTTGTTATCTTCTCCTTTGTGTGCTCCCCGCCCGCTGTCTGGGATGAATCGCATGATAACTCCAGAGGGTATAAATGTTGAACGGCTCTCTAAGTGATCTCGACCTGCTCTCAGTTTTGCCGCACGTACCACGCCATCTCTGCTTTCAATTAATTCAACTACCTTACCCATCAACCAATGATTTCAGTTCTTTGGTTTGACTTCACCAATACGATATCACCGAAAGAAATAGTTGTTCCTCGTGCATTATGTTTCTTTCGATGATGTTCTCTTAAGCCCCTCATATACTTTCTGGTCCAACGACGCCACATTTCTTCCTTAGTCTTCTTTTCAATACTTTAAAACTTTTCAGACTCTTGGTTTCGTGAAAGGTTTTAATTCAGGAAGGTAACTGGACTAAACAAAAGGATTGAGTTAGGTGTAGGAGTAGACTGTTGTCGTCTTCCAACATGTAACAAAGCGGTCTACTGTTCATTGCTAATTCCACATCTAATAAAACTTCAGACAACTCATCCCAAGTTAACACACCGTTTCCAATAGCCCTATAGAAGCAGCTCTTCATCAATCCTATTAACCGTTCAAACTGACCTCCGCACAGGGAGCCCTACTGAGATTGAACCGCCACGACACCATTATTTGTTGAGAAAGGGATTGAGCTTTTCGTCTTTCTGTACACTCTTCAGCTACTTTGACGCTGCCACGAAGGTGGTCGCGTTATCCGAGTATATGATGGAAGGTTTTCCTCTTCTAGCCACAAGACGTTTAAAGCTTTTGATGAATTCAATGGTTTCCAAGCTAGGCACGAGATCAAGAAATACTGCCAGTTTCAGAGAACATGAATATAAAACGATGTAGGATTTCCCTATTCTTCTATTTTTTGTGTGCTTTATGGGTCCTGCGAAAACTACGCCAATGATTTCAAATGGATTGGATGGGTCTGTTCTTGTCAAGGGGACCAGAACATGGCACATGCGCTGGTATCAGTCTAAATCGTTTACAGCTCCAACAAGATCCAATGATTTTCTCGCGTAAATGGGCCAGAGTTAATCCTACGCCACTGTGCGAAGTGTTAAAATGAGCTCTCTGCATCAATTTCGAAATTAACTTCGCTTGGTCAGGAGGTATATTTGGTATTCCTCATGAATTCTCCCATGACATCTCCATATTCCCTTATTACTTAACTGGAGATTGAGTTGCTCTTTATCTTTAAAGAATTCTTCCGTGTTCACGAACTGTTGTTGCGCTCGTTTTATTCAATACTCCTCTTGTGCCAACACCTCATCCATATTCAATGCTCCATTTCTTCTTTGGGTTAAGACAATTGTGTAAACCGTGCCATCCATCCAAAAATTCTGATTATTTTATGTAGCTCAAACTTATCGAAAATTTGGTCAAGATAACGGGTTTCAACAGTCAGAAATGATAACTCCCGTTTGAATTCTTGAATTCTTTTCTGCGTTGCTATACTCAGTAGCGTTCGTCACGAGAGGAGGGGGCCAATCTTGGGGTAGAGTCAGCCAGGATGGTCCCTTCCACCAAAGATCACACTTTTCTACACTACCGCCACAACTTCCCAAATCTGCTGTATTTTCCGCAGTTGGTACGTGCCTCCAAGATACATTGGAATGACTTTGAATTTTCTTTACTCTGTTCGCTACAAATTTCCTGTACTCTCCATCATCTCTCAACCAATGTAACGCGACGGTGCTGTCTAGCCAACAGGTAATTTTTTCTACAACCTTAAATCCACTCAATGCTTTTCTAACGTTTACCGCCAAGTTGATAGCCATATGTCCTGACACAAGCTCCAATCGAGGGATGGTCAAATTCAATTTTTGCCAAACACGATTTCGCTGCTACCGAGCTTTGGCTCCCTCCACATGATTGCTTAATTACTGCGTACACTGCTGCATACGCCCCTTTTGTTACTTGCATCACCAAATGCATGAATCTTAACTTCTTCAATGTTCTGAAAGTAATTTGAATTTCAAAAGAAGTCGGTAGGGCACAACTGAATATATGAATATACACACCCCAATTAACGTTCTAGTTACGCCTCTGCACAAGTGTCATGGGTGATACTAGTCCTAGCGGATCGTTAATCTTTGCCAAATACGCTAGTATGCCTCGTTTCGTCAACACTGCTGGAAATTCAAGAAACAATACTTGTAACACGTCAAGCAACTTCTCCCATTTGAGCCCCAATAACTTACATTCGCCCTCTGTTGAGTTTCCTCCTAGTTGTCGTTTTGCAAATGATAACTCGTCATCCATGTTATCTGTTTCCCAATCCTGAACATTAGAATGCCATTTATTTAGTATAAATTTTGCTTTGTCAAAAATCTCCACCGCTGCACTATATAACTCTCTCACCTACTCGGTGATAGATGCTCCCGAAATCAAATCGTCCACGTATAAGCTCTTGCGAATATCCTCGACGACCTCGGGATAACGGTTTTCTAAGATGGTAAGGTGTTCCTGGAGCACTCTGTTGAGAAAAAAAGGCGATGGTGTTAGCCCAAACACCACTTGAATGAATCGAAACACTTCTATTTCACTACTGTTGACGTTCTTGATCCAGTGAAAACGTAAGGCATCTTGTTCACTTTCACCTGTAGAAAGGCCGTTTTCAGATCTCCAGCGATAGCTACTGCATGAAATCGATTAAGGACAATGACGCTCTAGAGCTGATTATGTAATGGTGGTCCAGTTAGCAAACAGTCGTTGAGAGAAGGGGAATTATTACACTCACTTGTAGACGCATCGCACACAATTCGTAGTTTCGTAGTTTCAGCGTCCTTCCTTACGACTGCATTGTGTGACAGATAGAATTCCTTACCCTTCACTTTATGATTTACCTTCTCAACAACTCCTTGCTGTAGTTGCTCTCGTATCACCGAGTCATACTCCATTAACATATTTTCACGTTTCAGTTTGCGTAAAAAATAATTAAGGCGTCTTAGGCTTTCGTTACGATTACAAGCAGTGATGGATGAATAGGTTTCCATGGTAATGCAGTCTCATACAATCCGTCGTCCGAACGTATTAATTGTTCTTTGAATTCTTCCATAACCATTGAACTAGTTCCTGAATCATCTGCCAAACCTAAGACATCTAATGCACACAAGTCTGATACTGAACAAGCAACTCTTGCTCATCGTTTCCAGGTGACATTACTGCTCAACCAAACCGAGTACGTTCTGCTATCGGTTCCCCAATACGTCATACTCTGAGTTTCTCAGGGTTCCTTTTGACGTAATCATTAACACCTAAAAGCAGATGAATCGGCAACAGCCTTTTCTCGTCAACGTCGTTCATATGTACTCTGTTTAGATGGGGAAATTTCGATAAAGTCTCCTTATAGCCAGGGTTTTCCAAGAATAGCAACTCTTTCTTAACAATCTTTGTCACGTTAACTTCGAGACTGAAGTCATTCATCAAATCCATATTCATCTCGTACACTTTTATTTTTCTTGTTGTAATCCCGGTTAACATCACAATGTGACGCAGTCCAGTAGACTTTAACTTTGATTTAGTGAGGTTAACAGCTGTTCTTGAAGTGTAGGAGTGGCTTGCACCGCTGTCCAATAGAGCCAGGAACTTAAATCCATTGATACGTACAACAACAACTTTGATTTAGTGAGGTTAACAGCTGTCTTTGGAGTGTAGGAGTGGCTTGCATCGCTGTCCAATAGAGCATGGAACTTAAATCCATTGATACGTACAACAACCACAGGATGTATCACCGAACACTTTCCAATATGGTTTGCAGTCATCTGAGGTTCTTTGGACTCTTTAGAGTTTTCATTCTTATCACAAATGGAAGTGTGATGCTTACCTTGACAGATTTGACATCTTGTTTTGCTAATACAATCTGCTGCTCTATGTTTGGGTCCTGCACAATTGAAACACAGACGCTTTTCTGCCAAAGTTTCTTTCGATCCTCGCTGCGAACTACTTTCGTGCAGTTATGATTTATCAACTGCTTTATGATTTCCGGAACAGAAGATGCAGCCCTTGTTCTGATGTTCACAGCCATTTTCACCATTATTGCTTGCTATAAAGGATCTCCCTCTCTCTTTTAGAGTCCTTTTTCCCTGGTCCTTTATAGGATTGTTGCGGGTCCACTTCCCTAGAACTTCGAGAAAACTGTGTAAAGTTCCATTTATCCCAATCTTCATTCATGAGTGTCAACTCACTCTTAATCACAGCTAACTTTTCAAAGGTAAATCAAACGGCTGCATCAAGCTTATCGAGACATTTTAATGTTTGCAATGATTCAACATTATACAAAAGTGTTTCATAGAAGTTGTGCATTTTTCCCACATCTCGTTCACCGATTGTTGGCAGCTCAAGTATACTTTTCACATAGGCAATTATAACTTCTCCTTCGTCACCATACCGTTTCTCTAGAATACCTATGGCTCGATTATATCCTTCTTATGGATGTAATCATGGGAGACTATCCGTAAATGGGAGACCACCAATTAACTTTCTCACCTTCAATTCAATTAACTCTTTTAGAGGAGAAGTTGGTAACTGGATAAACATTTGATTTATCTATTTGAGCTTGGAATTGCCCCCAGAACCGAGTCTCGTGGTGTCCTATCAAACTTAGTTATAACGAGTTTTGGCATCTTTACAGTACTAGATCCCTCACTGCTAGAACTTGATTCGAGCATCTTTCAGCTTTTGTTGATATTCAAAATCGAGTTTCCACCGTTCTGCATCTGTCTCTTTTTTTTTGAAGTACTCGTTGCTTAGTTAGCTCTCTCTCAAATCTCAGTATCTGTTGCTGCTCCAATTCACAAAATCTTCCTGTGCTGCCAGCTCTAATCGTTTCAACTCGTTAGTGATGTGTCGTAGTGAATGAGGCTGCCATTCATCAGCCTCAGCTAATAAGTCGTCCACTTCCTTCGACCACTCTTGCACTTCTTCTTCAGTTTTACCATTAGTAAACATTTCATCTTCAATACATTCCTTGAGTTGATTTACTGCTGTTGAGCTTGTTGCAAATGACAACCGCTGTCATTCCATGGCCTCCTTATCTGCTTTAGACACGATATATTCAGTTCTATTCATGTGTAATTTCGAGGTTTTTGACTTGGCAGTCACGTTGGTAAGATTTACTGCCATCTTTAACAATTTGTACTGAAATTCTTCGCAAAATTTCAGGACAAATTTGTCCTTTTGATCAATTTAACGTCACAGTATGTATGCTCACACGTCGTGTATTTTCCGATTCAAACCTGCAGTATCGTCCTAATCCTGTTCAGTCCTGCCGGGGTCGCCATTGTTTTGGAAACAGGGAAATGCTTCTTGGAAGTTTCCTAATGTACACACACTCTCAGGTTGATATTTTTGCTTTATTTTTTATAACAAAGGAAATACGGTTATAAGCAACATACGAACATCGTT